AAATATTTCGGTTCAGGGTCTAAGACAGACTAGTAACGTCTGTGCGAAGTTGTGATGGGATTGATGGATGTAGATACATAGCCTCCGAAGATAAAGTCAAATAAAATAAAGTAATATCAAACCACGTCACTTTATTTAACAGATGAGAAAAGAGTGAGAAAAATTGTTAGTGATTTGTGCTTAACGCCGTTTTGGGTATTCATGTCAAAGGAAAGCCCGATGTGATGCAAGAAATAGGGTGATAGAGATTGGTAGGGGGGGGGGGGACAATAGTGCAATTCTGCGTCTGTAAGAGAGGCAACAATTAAGATGTTGGTGTCACTTCCGAAGCGAGACTTGATGAATTGGTGCCGCGTATATCTCATAATAAAATATAAGATAATATACCCTTGATGGTCGAGGATGCAGTAATTGCTATCCCAGAAGTGTTGTTTGTACACGGACAACATTTGAGTATCTGCTTTATTAGTCTCATCAATAATGTATTTATTAGACATGTATCTTCCAATCAAATTAGCCACATGTCCAAACCATCTTCTGTTGTTGACTTCTGCTGTCGGGGTTTTGGCTGCTTCAACAAACATGAAGTAATGCTCACTTTCCTAGACAAGGTGTATACAACAGCAACTCTTGTCGTTTCCGTAATATTTGTTATCCTTGTATATTAGCACCTTCTCACCTTCTGGTTTGACGTTTTCCCGCCAAATGCTTGCTTGCAGACGATGAGTGTCGTCTGCTCAAGTTGATCGCCTGCCAGAAAGGGTGTTCACGCGAGGCAGTAATCCTACCTTAATCCGACGTCAATGCTTGGGACGGGTTTATTGCTACCGTGTTGCTCCTACTTGGTACTTATATATAGGTTCGTTGCAATATAGACAAATTTTATGGATAACAACTTCCTGAGTGCTAGAACGTGCTAAGAACTTAGTAACTTCCAGCACTCACGAAATAAAGAAGTTGTTATCCATAAAGTTTGCTGTGGAATATCAGTGATCGACGAGGAACATTTATTCTGTTTGCTTAGGTCAAGGAAGGTCAGCTGGTGGTACTCCAGAAATGTCGTTCCATATATTCCAAGGACTGTTGGTACCAGTTCTCACATTCGGAACAAGTTTGAACTTTTGCCTATGCATGTATCACCAAAGTGGTACATATGTACGACCTGTGATCTTGGTATTATCATCCCATCCAGAAGACAACTATACCATTCTTCAATCCGGCGATAAATCAAACTAACATTGTCCATCACGAACGGAACGGCTGTAACCTCTTAACCCCACTTACACATCTTACTTTTTCATTGTATGGATCTATCGACCATGTTACAGCATGGTTTCCTTAGCCTGTTATAATGTGTTTTCCTGTATCATCATTATAGAGAGCTTAGTGTCAAGTAGCAACGGAAACTGCTTCTATGGTTTCGCGTTGAAGAATACAATTATGATTAATAGGGAACAAACAATCCAACGGCCTTGCACGACCACCCTCGATACATCATTGTTAATGAGCATGGTGTACAATCCATTTGCCTCGATCTTACGGTAATTCAAGACCGTCAGGAGAAAACAGGCACCTCAGCCCCCATCTGTAGTTTTACTTCCTCATGGGATGAACAGATGGGGCAGGATTCTCATTACCTCTGTCTTGTTACTTAAGGTAGGCACAATGAGCTGCGCATACGTTCCTCCGACTGACTCACCTTTGTCAAGCTGTGCCCGGCTGTAGAAATACTGCTGATGTGTTCAGTAGCTAAGTCAGTGCTGGCATATTAGATAGCCGTCAGCTTCTATATTTAAACCTTCCCTGTAATCAACAGACTGACTAAAACGAAGGTCAAGCGCTGTTGACATCGCCGTATCCTAAGTTCGTTATGTATAGCTTGTTTTAAATGGATTAGTAATAACCGACTTTAGCTATATCTGACCCTTCCAAAAGAGTCCTTTTGCTTATGATCTTGGAAAAAGGTTTTGTCACTAACATACCCACACTAGCACTCACTCACACCCTCATTCACTAACACATTCAATTACAGTTACGTAACCACACTCATTCTGTAACATCCACCCACTCACTGACCCACTCCTCCACTCACAGCCCCTTCACTCACTCACTCACCCACCCCTTCACTCACTCCTTAACTCATCACTCACTGTTTCACTCACTCACTCACTCTTTCACTCAACAATTCCTTCACTCACTCACTTTTTCACTCACTCACCCACTCCTTTACTCACTCACTCTTTCACTCACTCACTCTTTCACTCACCCACTCCTTCACTCACCCACTCTTTCACTCCTTCACTCTTTCACTCACCCACTCCTTCAATCACAACCCCTTCACTCACTCCTTCACTCACTCACCCACCCCTTCACTCTTTCACTCACTCACTCTTTCACTCACTCACTCTTTCACTGACCCGCTCTTTCACTCACTCACTCTTTCACTCACTCACTCTTTCACTCACCCACTCCTTCACTCACAACCCCTTCACTCACTCACCCACCCCTTCACTCACCTTCACTCACTCACTCACTCAATCACTCTTTCACTCACTCACTCTTTCACTCACTCACTCACTCTTTCACTCACCCACTCCTTCACTCACCCACTCTTTCACTCACTCCTAAACTCAATCCTTCACTCACTTCACCCACTCACAAACCACTCACACACTACTCCTCGGCAAAGTTCTGATCCTTCGTTGTAGAATATGATCCATGTTAATTGCCAGTACCAACTTAAAATGGAAGGAAAAGAACAACAATTGTTGACGGAATACTCTGCGTTACACGAGCCATTCTGATGGAAAAACGCATTGATGATCCTTTCAGGTTTCAACCACGCATCTTGAGACATATACACATGCAGTGTACAATTACATTCGTTTATTAACTTCCTTGATATCGACTGAGTAGGTTTCTGCGATTTCCAGAACCTTTGTTCCAAATGTCAAACGTAGCTGGAAATATCATGAGTCTGATACATGCGGTCGGTGGTCGGATTTCCACGGCAGTAGTCTGTGGCTGCTATTCCGTACTCTGTGATACTTGTTTATGCGACCTCAAGAGGAGTCTGACGGTAGTCGCTGCTTCTGACGTGACTTGACGCTGTGTGACGTCGACTGACGGAGGTATATACGTTTATACACAGTACATGTGATGAAATGACAGTCGGGTTCTATTAAATCCAATTTGTTTCTGGAGCGACTTCTTCCTTCGTAAATTACACCACTGAGGTAAGGTTTAAACATTGGGTATATATATATATACGGGAAGTTGTTATTTTGCTTCCGGCCACAGCGGAATCGTGTATTTACAGTGATGCCCAGTGTGGGCTACTGTGTAACAAGAGGCTTTAGGATTCTAAAGGTATAGAGCAGGATAGTCCCGTTTTAGCGTTGCCGAGATCCACAGGTAATTGGAAATACCGGAGTATTCCTAAAGATGGTTGCTTTGTTGTTCTTTATTTATTGAGATCGGAGACGTAGATTTTACTTTGAGATGAACACTGGTTCCATCAAAATTACCCAATCAAACGGAACATTGAACATGTACCGTCAATGTGGATTCTAGACAAAGTTTCAAAACACTAATTGCAATAATATGTCTTGACAATGGGGTTCCTTTGTTGCTTTGAGGACGAATGCTCAATTATTCATTGTGCGATATATACGGTAACAAGTTCGTTACTCATTATAAGAGCTCAACGAGGCTTATAATATATTACAAACGTTCAGCCATATTCATTGGCCCGGTCTCATTGGGAACTTCAAGTTTGGTATGATGATTTACGGTAATGACTTGAGTTACTAAAAATAGACTGGAATAACACCTGCGGGTAATTCCCGTCTATTTTTAGTAACTCAAGTCTTAGCCAATCATGTGTCTCAGTTTAGTGAAACCTCCTAATTCTGTTTTTAGGTAACTAAGCTTAATGTACTGAATCGTCCTTGTGTCTGTCATTCATACACAATAAAACTTATATCCTTTATATTCTTTTAATACCTATTTTTCCCGGTCAGTACTGCTTTTTAGGTATTGACCAGGGTGCCGTTGTACAAAGCACTACGACTGTCGTAAGTCTATGTTAAAGTATGGGAGTTACGATCTCTTTGTGAAATGGGGCCCTTAGGGCTGTTGAACAAAACAATCTTAGAGTTAAGACTACCTTAAGTCTATGTTAAGGTATGGGAGTTACGGTCACCTTAGCGCTAAGACTACCTTAAGTCTATGTTAAGGTATGGGAGTTACGGTCACCTTAGCGCTAAGACTACCTTAAGTCTATGTTAAGGTATGGGAGTTACGGTCACCTTAGCGCTAAGACTACCTTAAGTCTATGTTAAGGTATGGGAGTTACGGTCACCTTAGCGCTAAGATACAGTCACTGGACATAAGTATTCGTCACTGTGCATAATTTCCATAGACTTGCATGTTAATTAGGTGCAGCTAGAAAAATTATCTTGAATTTATTTTTCGTTTGATCATATTCATATTTTGCACACGTGTCATGAATCATCTCAGCTGCAAAGACATAATTTCCGTTTTATTTTCCATTCAGTATTTCAAGAATGATCACACTTTGATTGATACGTGTCATGGTTATGACATTTTTTAACATGGTGGTCTATGGGGAAAGAATACAGAATGTTGTATATATGTTGGTCATGTAACCACAGTGTGGAATATACTCGAAGGAACATTTCACGGAAATTATGTATCTGTGACCGAGATGATTTCCTAACAACCTGCAAAATTTGACAACCAAATAACGAAAACTGAATCAGCGAATATTATTACAGCTACACTAAAACAGCATACAAGTCTATGAGAATTTTGCCGACTGACGAATACTTATGTCCCATGACTGTAGCTTTGTACAACGGCATTGACCTCATATAGACGTATTGTATAGTGTCATCGTTACGAACAATGTGTCGATATACCGGTCACTCTTCAAGGTTGGTTCCATGTATATATATGTTTATCTCTTCTTGTTGCAGGTGAAGTGTAGTGGACGCTGGTCAGGTGACGTGACCCCCATGGGACGCCCGGCACGATGAAGTTGCGAGACTTTGTAGCCAACTCCCTGCCAAGGGTCCGCGGCAAGAAGAAGAAACAGAACCAGGTACAGCGTACACTGAACAACGAGCGTTATGACGCCAACAAGAACAGGAACAAGGTTCCAGACGCCAACGCATCGTGGGAATGTAGCCATGACAACAACAACAAGTGCCCACCAGAAGGTAGCTGCGAGTATGCCCTAAATCAGGCCGTGAAAACAGTGTGCGGAGAGATTATCGATACCTTTAATATTGACACTTACAATTACCGTGTTAATAATTCCCTGGGAGAGGATCAATACACATGCTACAACGACCTCTCCTCTTATCAGAAAACAGAAGAGGCCGACAAGAAAAATGAGGCGGCCAACATAAGCAGCGATAGTGAGAAACAGTTCAACACTGTTCCCAAAACCAGGTCCAGGATCCGCACCAACCCCTGGCTACCTTCTCCCAGAAGCACCCCGTCTAACTCCTCGGGGTCCTCCAGCCCCACCTCCTCGGTCACCACATCCCCCCTGAGCCCTATCCACCACAAGCTGAGGTCGCTATGTATCAAGGATAGCTGTACTCTGTCTACAACCTCCTCCGACAGCCTCATGGATACAGACCAGTCAGCATCGTCCCCGGACTCGGCTTTGGGGGACGTCGCAGAGGCAGCTGGGGTATTGGATCGTGACAAATGGAGCGGCAGATTCGATCTTTCCCATCTACCCTCGTTTAAAGAGGATGGGGCGTATTCCTACACGGCCTGGGATACAGACGCCTCAACTGATCTCTCCCCTTGTACGGAGAACTGCAACTGTAACGAAAATATTGGCGAACCTGAACATAATATAAGTTTCGAGTATGAGGAAGCTTTGGATGATACGCTTGAAAAGGGGTCTGTGAAGAGAGACATTTCTTTGCAAGATCTTCTGGATGATGATGCTCTGAAAGATGTTGCCGTTCAAACTGAGTTTGAGGATTATGATGAAGACTCGGACTGGCTGATTGACGGCAGTTCTGATGAAGGCAGTACCGATCTTGCCAGTGGAGAATGTGTAAAATACTGTTGTGTTCGAGATATAATGCAGGATTCGACTGACACAGGATATTCGAGTTTAGGACGAGATGGACAAACGGAACTTGATGATGAGTTCCAGTTTATCAAGCCGGATCAGTATCAGCAAACAGAGCCTTGCCAAGCCTCGGAACCAGAACAAGGGAAGATCACTCCCACATTAACCAGTATTTCAGAAACAGAGTGTGTCTGCGAGGCTCTTCCAACACCAGAGGTACCTCCCGTCGAGGACGACCTTGACACTGAGAAAGAGCGTTACGTGACGAACCGATATCCAGAGGAAACGTCAGGTCGAACCCTGCAAGAAATCAAAACAAGCCTGGAAGAGAAGGTCTTCCTCCTTCGCCAAGAGAAGAGAATCGTTGAGCAAAAGATCAAGGAGGCACAGGAGGAAGAGAAAATACGACAGCAAGAAAAGATGAGATTCCATCGTCAACTGAACATCCACAGGAAGCAAATATTGCTCAAAACCCTTCATGATCTCAAAGCGAAACTGGAGTGTCAGAGTGAACGTCTACAGGATAGCTACAGTGCTGTGCTCACAATGCAAAAGAGGTTTGCCCAGAGAAACTCGCCGCTTCTTCTTCTGGCTTCCTCTTCCACGTGACTAGCGGTTCAGCCAATCATCAGCGCTGATACGTGTGACTGAAGGATATGTCCTCCATTTTGAATCAAAAGTATTTGGATCTTGTGGTCGTAATTTTGATCTGACGTCTGTTAATGTTGGTGAGATTTTGAGTGCTACGTTACTTTTGAGCTGTGTTAGTTGAGCGGTGTCATTGAATCCAAATCATTAGTTGTATGAGCGCAGTTTTACATTGCTTAAGTGCTGAATGGATCGGAGCGGAAGTGAGCTGTTTTTACACGAAGCTGAGAGTTGCACGGTTCGCTTTGTTGAGAGTGAGGCCGGAAGTGACGTGTGCAATGACAGCTGCGACAGTGTACAACGTGTACATTTGTGACAGCAAATTATTGATGGGTGCTTGAGGTTCATGAATATACTGTTTTTTCTGAAAGTGATAGTGCAGGAAGAATAACAAAACCTCATCAACATTGCCATTTCAGCTGAATTGCAAGCGGTTTGTTTTCCCTACTAACTGGAGGTTCTACAACTGAAAGATTGTGTAACATAAAGAAAGAAGTAACACAATTTTCATATCAACATGTTTATACCACCTTGCAACATTGGTTCTTAAAATAACTTGCAATAGATTCATATAGGTTCTTACTTCGTTCCTCTAAATCATTCATAATGAAGGAATATTTTTCTAAAACAAAAATAGCAATTGTACTCATTGGGAGTGTAATTTATGTATTCTAAATATGATAAAGTCATCAAACAGCTGGCGAAGTGAAAAAGGGAAACATTTATGTAAGGGAAAGACTTCAAATAACATAAACCTTGCGATAAAACAGACGAAACGGCAATGAAACTTCTAAATTCAATTTAGGTGTCTGGTGTTAACAGTTTGGCGATATCGTGTACCTGTCGCGACCCTGTAATGAAAACAGGTGGCAATACATTCTTCCTATAACCGTACGTAAACATAGGTTGTGTTTTTGGCTCTCATAAGCTAACTGTAAAGATGCTTTGACAATTTTCCAAGAATTGGCCACATATTTGACAATTCTCCAGTTACATGGCTGTTCGTATTTTGGCCTTTAAGTACTTCTGTTCTCGAGACGTACATACCGTGGCAAAGCAGACATTTGACATTATTTGATTAACCGAATGTCGATAATAGCAGTGGTAAACGACGTGTTTTTGCTTGACGAGTTGACGGCGAAAAACAGCATGACGAGAAAAAACTGAGACATTTGTGAAACAGTTGTACGGGTTTTTCTTCAAGATGAGATACTTAAAAAGTCTTACTGCATTTGTGTGTGTAGTCTTTGTGGCACTTATGGTGAATATCGTATCGGTTTTACAATGTATGTATTTTTACGTACGTGGTGATTGATCACTTAATCAAGGTATACCAGCGACATCAAAAGAACTACCGATGAACCTCAAAGATGAGGAAACAGAAATGAATTATTTCAGGAAGTCATTGTTTTTAGACCGAATCCTCAAGGAGGAATGTTAATGACGCTGTGGTATTTATGACCGAAATGGACACCAGTGACATGGTGAGTCATTGTGCAATGTTTACAATAATGTCAATTTCCAATCATTTAACCGCCTGTCAAAATGTCCACGTGGATGTCGTGCATCCTGCCGCTTGGCTCATTTGACAGCCTGGCCGTGCGACTTGCCAGATTTGAAAATATCGATTGAAATTTAAAGGGAGTGCTTTATTTCACTCTGTTTGAAATTGTACAAATCTGTTTAAAGTAAAAAGCAACAGAATTAGTCTTGCCTTTCTTTTCTCCATAATTTCAGGTTCAACATAATTTGTTGTATTTTACAAAACGGCACTCATTCTAATTCTCGAATGCAGCTACGTCATAATAGAAACAAATTTCAATTTGCTATGCATGCCGCTTATAAATTTATGAATTTTAGATTTTTTCCGATATGTTAACAATACGGGGCTAGAAGAGACAATAATGAATTTTATTGACGAATATATTACTTGTATTAACTGAATATGTCAACTCTCAGAAGCATCTATTATATCTAGATGAAGTTAGTATGTATGAATTCTGTCATTCTCGTGTCTTCATTTCGACAAATACATTTTCGTTTCGGTGTCTTTTGCGTTCATCGTTTTCGTAAATTTCAGTTTGACACTTTTTAAAACTGAAATTGCTGTTCCATCTTTCGGTTTGGTTACCATGGATATGGACGTAAAAGACATATACATGTATGTGTTTCATATGACCTAGTTTGTCTCTGATTCTTATTCTTGATTCGTAATTTGTTATCATCACAACAACTTTGTCCCTTGCATTGCATGATCTCTTTCTCTTTTCCATGTGTTTGGAAATTGACATCGTTGTCTATTTCTTTTCTTGTCGTTGGTATTTTGAACAAATGGCAGTTTAAACAATTTATTGTATTTTGGGCGTGTTGCTCTTTTTGATCCACAACACATCTCCGTGGTCTGAGCAGTGACGCTAAAACGTGACCCGTGTTGCACGAGTTTAGACTATCAGTATTGTTTACAGTAAACGTTTATTCGTGGGCTTTACGTATACCTCTGAAAGGGATTTTCCCAGGGGGATAAAATATATCACATAATTGTTCAAATCAGTGAAATTGACAGCGGTGTAGTAATTTCACTATTTTGGAATCATTTCAAATTGTTATGTATCTTCAATCTTCACTGTTACTTTTGTCATAGATGTATGTGATTACGGACACGATTAAATGACAATGAAATGACTGTTTTGTTTTGGGGGGTTCATTGTGTGGTGAACTGCAATTAAGATAACTCCTCGATCGAATTGAACAAAATGATATCGATTGTGGTTCTTTTCATTTCTTAAACTGATTGTTATACATTTGAAATTTTTGATTCCTGTTAGTTTGGTTGCATATATCGTATAGCTATATGGTGCTGACGTGAGTCTCTATAAAATATGGAAGCCCATTGCGGTCACAATTTGTCTGCGTGCGCGGCTGTTATAGTGTATATGTTAGTTGACTTGGTCTTGTATTATAATGTTAATGTGATTACAGTTATACCCCGTCGTCATAGATTTGTCATTCATTATGCATTTCAATATTTATCGTTGTCATTTCTCAACCACTAAAGTTGCATTTGGATTAGACTCGTTTACTGCATATTTCATGTTCATTGCTTGGATGTCAGTATCTTATTCGAAAACAAAGACTTGACAAAGCTTGTCGATTTCATTGTTTGATAGATTCATCTTGAAGTGACTGTAATGTTTTGATGTACATGTTGTATGCAATAAGCGTTCTATTTCAAATGTCAATTTCACACACAGTTGTTTACTTAGCGGTAGTGAGATTCGATGTGCCAAATATTTGTAAAACCCACCAAAGGTAATTATTATCACTACTTTATATAATGAATGTTTGTAAACTTCAAATACATTCATAAGTTTTCTTCGTGTTAATAGGGCGTATGCGTTATTGTGATGATCATGTATCAGTCTTGACGATGAAATGAACGCAGTGGCACATTGAAGAAACGGTCAAAGGGAAGTAACTCTAATTTGGAGCTGCGGCCAACAGCATCAGGCCGGTTGGTTGTTGTTTTTAACACACGAATCTGTCAAATTGAAAAGTAAGATAAACCTTTAATCAAATTATACACAGTAATATTTCTGATGAACAAATCATATTCCTCAAAATAAAACACCATATCAATGTGTACAGGAGTGTAAGTATTGGGCGTCCTATCACAAACCACCTTTGTATAAATTTGTATTTTCTGTAAATTGAGAGTGCGATATTTATTATTATGCCTGATTGACAGGGGTGTACATATCACCTGACTTGAAATTGATTAGGGCAATAAATAAAAAAAGTCCAATAACAATGAAAGAGACTTGTAACTACCACTGTCAATGTGTAAAATACGTGGACATTGTAATTTCAATCTTGCCAAAAGTAAATTCTATAAAAGTAAAAAAAATAAATAAATGCAATTGTTTCGGAATTGTCACATTCCTGTAAGAGGCTTTAACTGTTATGAAGTAATTCTGAAGAAGCTTCGTGTAGATGTACCCGTCTATCTCCCTACATCGGTATGGCGTTTGTGTTGGTTATTGATCTGAAATGCTAGATGGTTTATTAATTTATTGTTTCACAGCGTTACTTGGCATTTGTGTTGAAGTCGCTATGTCTAGTTGACGTGCAAATAAATAGATCTCAAAATAATCTTACTTTTGGTTTTTTGTCCTATTATTATGAATTATCTTGTTATCCATTTTCTTCCAATTATGAATAACATTATACATATTGATGCTTGGCGTTAAACTGGGGACTTCATGCACAAGCCCTCGTGTCTGCGCGAGGATTAAAGATGTTTAAAGAAAACAAAACATTTGAGATGACCCCCGACTCGTAATGCTTCACAGTACAATACATTATGGTCATAATGTATTGTACTGTGAAGCATTTCGAGTCAGGGGTCATCTCAAAAAAATAATTTTTTAATCGTTAATCTTCGTAAAGATACGAGGGCCTGTGACTTCATGCCAGCTATGCAATATGTCAGCATATATTGAAATGCCTATACAACACGTATGCTCACTGTAACATGATGACGGTTGGCACAAGCTGCATCCAGTCCACCATCTCTATGGAGAGCGTGGGGCGGTGGGATAGCCTTATGGTTAAAACGTCCGCTCGTCGCGCTGAAGGATGGGGTTCGAATGCCCACACGGAAAAGTTGTGTGGAACCGATCTCTTGTGTCCCCAGCCATGATTATGCTGGAATAATGCCGAAAGCGACGCAAAAATATACTCACTCACTGTATGGAGAACGAAAGGTCTGTGTTCGATGCCCGACCATGACATACCATGAGACGTTACAAAATGGTAATCGTTGTTATCCCGCCTAACGATGGAGTAAAGGAAATATCACAGTGACTGGTCGGACAGGTTTGGGTTCGACAAAAGAAACAATGGAGTGAGGCCGGCAGATCGGACTTGGCAATTCGATAACCAGTGATGGCATCCATAAAGTATTATACTTTTCTTATAGTGATGGCATTGCTTCATGAAATAACAAAGTCTGTGATTTGAACCTACCGGGCACGAGAAGACACCCTACTTTTCATCTTTATGGGCGCACACCTCCAGCCTTATATACATGTGATATAATTACATACAGATGCAGGTCCGTGCACCACCCGGTCTTATCTAACAACTGATATATTTACATACAGATGCAGGTCCGTGCACCACCCGGTCTTATCTAACAACTGATATATTTACATACAGATGCAGGTCCGTGCACCACCCGGTCTTATCTAACAACTGATATATTTACATACAGATGCAGGTCCGTGCACCACCCGGTCTTATCTATCAACTGATATATTTACATACAGATGCAGGTCCGTGCACCACCCGGTCTTATCTAACAACTGATATATTTACATACAGATGCAGGTCCGTGCACCACCCTGTCTTATCTAACAACTGATATATTTACATACAGATGCAGGTCCGTGCACCACCCGGTCTTATCTAACAACTGATATATTTACATACAGATGCAGGTCCGTGCATCACCCGGTCTTATCTAACAACTGATATATTTACATACAGATGCAGGTCCGTGCACCACCCGGTCTTATCTAACAACTGATATATTTACATACAGATGCAGGTCCGTGCACCACCCGGTCTTATCTAACAACTGATATATTTACATACAGATGCAGGTCCGTGCACCACCACCCGGTCTTATCTAACAACTGATATATTTACATACAGATGCAGGTCCGTGCACCACCCGGTCTTATCTAACAACTGATATATTTACATACAGATGCAGGTCCGTGCACCACCCGGTCTTATCTAACAACTGATATATTTACATACAGATGCAGGTCCGTGCACCACCCGGTCTTATCTAACAACTGATATATTTACATACAGATGCAGGTCCGTGCACACCACTCGGTCTTATCTAACAACTGATATATTTACATACAGATGCAGGTCCGTGCACCACCCGGTCTTATCTAACAGCTGATATATTTACATACAGATGCAGGTCCGTGCACCACCCGGTCTTATCTATCAACTGATATATTTACATACAGATGCAGGTCCGTGCACCACCCGGTCTTATCTAACAACTGATATATTTACATACAGATGCAGGTCCGTGCACCACCCGGTCTTATCTAACAACTGATATATTTACATACAGATGCAGGTCCGTGCACCACCACCCGGTCTTATCTAACAACTGATATATTTACATACAGATGCAGGTCCGTGCACCACCCGGTCTTATCTAACAACTGATATATTTACATACAGATGCAGGTCCGTGCACCACCACCCGGTCTTATCTATCAACTGATATATTTACATACAGATGCAGGTCCGTGCACCACCCTGTCTTATCTTACAACTGATATATTTACATACAGATGCAGGTCCGTGCACCACCCGGTCTTATCTAACAACTGATATATTTACATACAGATGCAGGTCCGTGCACCACCCGGTCTTATCTAACAACTGATATATTTACATACAGATGCAGGTCCGTGCACCACCACCCGGTCTTATCTAACAGCTGATATATTTACATACAGATGCAGGTCCGTGCACCACCCGGTCTTATCTTAACAGCTGATATATTTACATACAGATGGAGGTCCGTGCACCACCCGGTCTTATCTATCAACTGATATTTTTACATACAGATGCAGGTCCGTGCACCACCCGGTCTTATCTAACAACTGATATATTTACATACAGATGCAGGTCCGTGCACCACCACCGGTCTTATCTAACAACTGATATATTTACATACAGATGCAGGTCCGTGCACCACCACCCGGTCTTATCTAACAACTGATATATTTACATACAGATGCAGGTCCGTGCACCACCCGGTCTTATCTAACAACTGATATATTTACATACAGATGCAGGTCCGTGCACCACCACCCGGTCTTATCTATCAACTGATATATTTACATACAGATGCAGGTCCGTGCACCACCACCCGGTCTTATCTAACAACTGATATATTTACATACAGATGCAGGTCCGTGCACCACCCGGTCTTATCTAACAACTGATATAATTACAGATGCAGGTCCGTGCACCACCCCTGTCTTATCTAACAACTGATATATTTACATACAGATGCAGGTCCGTGCACCACCCTGTCTTATCTATCAACTGATATATTTACATACAGATGCAGGTCCGTGCACCACCCGGTCTTATCTAACAACTGATATATTTACATACAGATGCAGGTCCGTGCACCACCCGGTCTTATCTAACAACTGATATATTTACATACAGATGCAGGTCCGTGCACCACCCGGTCTTATCTAACAACTGATATATTTACATACAGATGCAGGTCCGTGCACCACCCGGTCTTATCTAACAACTGATATATTTACATACAGATGCAGGTCCGTGCACCACCCGGTCTTATCTAACAACTGATATATTTACATACAGATGCAGGTCCGTGCACCACCCTGTCTTATCTATCAACTGATATATTTACATACAGATGCAGGTCCGTGCACCACCACCCGGTCTTATCTATATATTTACACAACTGATATATTTTACACATACAGATGCAGGTCCGTGCATCACTTTGTCTTATCTAACAACTGATATATTTACATACAGATGCAGGTCCGTGCACCACCCGGTCTTATCTAACAACTGATATATTTACATACAGATGCAGGTCCGTGCACCACCACCCGGTCTTATCTAACAACTGATATATTTACATACAGATGCAGGTCAGTGCACCACCCGATCTTATCTCACAGCTGATATATTTACATACAGATGGAGGTCCGTGCACCACCCGGTCTTATCTATCAACTGATATTTTTACATACAGATGCAGGTCCGTGCACCACCCGGTCTTATCTAACAACTGATATATTTACATACAGATGCAGGTCCGTGCACCACCCGGTCTTATCTAACAGCTGATATATTTACATACAGATGCAGGTCCGTGCACCACCACCCGGTCTTATCTAACAACTGATATATTTACATACAGATGCAGGTCCGTGCACCACCCGGTCTTATCTAACAGCTGATATATTTACATACAGATGCAGGTCCGTGCAAAAGCACCCGGTCTTATCTATCAACTGATATATTTACATACAGATGTAGGTCCGTGCACCACCACCCGGTCTTATCTAACAACTGATATATTTACATACAGATGCAGGTCCGTGCACCACCCGGTCTTATCTAACAACTGATATATTTACATACAGATGCAGGTCCGTGCACCACCCTGTCTTATCTAACAACTGATATATTTACATACAGATGCAGGTCCGTGCACCACCCTGTCTTATCTAACAACTGATATATTTACATACAGATGCAGGTCCGTGCACCACCCGGTCTTATCTAACAACTGATATATTTACATACAGATGCAGGTCCGTGCACCACCACCCGGTCTTATCTAACAACTGATATATTTACATACAGATGCAGGTCCGTGCATCACCCCTGTCTTATCTAACAACTGATATATTTACATACAGATGCAGGTCCGTGCACCACCCGGTCTTATCTAACAACTGATATATTTACATACAGATGCAGGTCCGTGCACCACCCGGTCTTATCTAACAACTGATATATTTACATACAGATGCAGGTCCGTGCACCACCCTGTCTTATCTATCAACTGATATATTCACATACAGATGCCGGTCCGTGCACCATCCGGTCTTATCTGACAACATATATATTTACATACAGATGCAGGTCCGTGCACCACCCGGTCTTATCTAACAACTGATATATTTACATACAGATGCAGGTCCGTGCACCACCCGGTCTTATCTAACAACTGATATATTTACATACAGATGCAGGTCCGTGCACCACCACCCGGTCTTATCTAACAGCTGATATGTTTACATACAGATGCAGGTCAGTGCACCACCCGATCTTATCTCACAGCTGATATATTTACATACAGATGGAGGTCCTTGCACCACCCGGTCTTATCTATCAACTGATATATTTACATACAGATGCAGGTCCTTGCACCACCCGGTCTTATCTAACAGCTGATATATTTACATACAGATGCAGGTCCGTGCACCACCCGGTCTTATCTAACAGATGATATATTTACATACAGATGCAGGTCCGTGCACCACCCGGTCTTATCTATCAACTGATATATTTACATACAGATGTAGGTCCGTGCACCAGCACCCGGTCTTATCTCACAGCTGATATATTTACATACAGATGCAGGTCCGTGCACCACCCGGTCTTATCTAACAACTGATATATTTACATACAGATGCAGGTCCGTGCACCAGCACCCGGTCTTATCTAACAGCTGATATATTTACATACAGATGCAGGTCCGTGCACCACCCGGTCTTATCTAACAACTGATATATTTACATACAGATGCAGGTCCGTGCACCACCACCCGGTCTTATCTAACAGCTGATATATTTACATACAGATGCAGGTCCGTGCACCACCCGGTCTTATCTAACAACTGATATATTTACATACAGATGCAGGTCCTTGCACCACCCGGTCTTATCTAACAACTGATATATTTACATACAGATGCAGGTCCGTGCACCACACCCGGTCTTATCTAACAGCTGATATATTTACATACAGATGCAGGTCCGTGCACCACCCGGTCTTATCTAACAACTGATATATTTACATACAGATGCAGGTCCGTGCACCAGCACCCGGTCTTATCTATCAACTGATATATTTACATACAGATGCAGGTCCGTGCACCACCCGGTCTTATCTAACAACTATTATATTTACATACAGATGTAGGTCCGTGCACCAGCACCCGGTCTTATCTATCAACTGATATATTTACATACAGATGCAGGTCCGTGCACCACCCGGTCTTATCTAACAACTGATATATTTACATACAGATGTAGGTCCGTGCACCAGCACCCGGTCTTATCTATCAACTGATATATTTACATGCAGATGCAGGTCCGTGCATCACTCTGTCTTATCTAACAGATGATATATTTACATACAGATGCAGGTCCGTGCACCACCCGCTCTTATCTAACAGATGATATATTTACATACAGATGCAGGTCCGTGCACCACCCGGTCTTATCTAACAGATGATATATTTACATACAGATGCAGGTCCGTGCACCACCCGGTCTTATCTATATATTTACATACTGATATTTTTACATACAGATGCAGGTCCGTGCACCACCCGGTCTTATCTAACAACTGATATATTTACATACAGATGGAGGTCCGTGCACCACCCGGTCTTATCTAACAGATGATATATTTACATACAGATGCAGGTCCGTGCACCACCCGGTCTTATCTAACAACTGATATATTTACATACAGATGCAGGTCCGTGCACCACCCTGTCTTATCTAACAACTGATATATTTACATACAGATGCAGGTCCGTGCACCACCCTGTCTTATCTATCAACTGATATATTTACATACAGATGCAGGTCCGTGCACCACCCTGTCTTATCTAACAACTGATATATTTACATACAGATGCAGGTCCGTGCACCACCCTGTCTTATCTAACAACTGATATATTTACATACAGATGCAGGTCCGTGCATCACCCGGTCTTATCTATCAACTGATATATTTACATACAGATGCAGGTCCGTGCACCACCCTGTCTTATCTAACAACTGATATATTTACATACAGATGCAGGTCCGTGCACCACCCGGTCTTATCTAACAGCTGATATATTTACATACAGATGCAGGTCCGTGCACCACCACCCGGTCTCTATGCCGTAACGTAATATCCGACGTACTTACCTGCGAAGGGGGGCAGGGTGTGTGTATGTGTGTGTTAACTTTTGCAAACTGGGCATTTATGAGAATAAGGAATCTGTATCTTTGGTGCAGGTGGGCAATATGAGAATTTCTGTATCTTTGGTGCAGGTAAATATTTTGGTGGTGAGAAACATTCGTTGAGAACAACACTGTCACTTTGATGAAGAGTTTGCTCGTTGCTCGTGTGTTCTGGAATAAGCTCGTTGTGGCACTTTGTGTACACCTAATACAAGTCTAAATGCTACACACTATACTACTGCCCCTTACAGAATCTACAGGTACATTGTATAACCGTTGAAACATTGTTGCACGACGTATGACACTGCTTCAGTACACACACAACTCACACTTCCTCATCACAACCTTCTTCCCCAGTTAACACGGATGTTGGTACAGTTGTAAAGCATCTCCTTCGGCTTCTGTCGGAAGGCATACGAATGGTCACGAACTGTAAAATCGCTGTCGAAATCTGCAGCCTCAGTATGATAATAAACTGCAGGTGACAGAGGTGATCACATTCTTACAGACGTTTTTTAGACTCTTTGTCATCGCGAAAGATCCCATGCTAATATCATTTAAAGAAACATTTTCCTTAATTGAACAATAAGTATTGAACGAGTGAGTTTAGTTTTATGCCGCACTCAGCAACATTCCATCTGTATGGCGGCGGTCTGTAAATCATCGAGTCTGGACCAGACACTCCAGTGATCAACAGCATGAGCATCGATCTACGCAATAGGGATACCACTTACGACAAGCATGGGTTACTGAAGATCAATTCTAACCCGGATCTTCACGAGTGCTGAAGGTCGAACAATGAGTAAGGATAGTCCGAACGAAACTCGTAATGGCAGGACAGTGGCAGGATCCGCAGGTCGTGGATTAGAACTAATGACTTAGCCGGTATATTTCGTTGAATCGAAAGCATAGCAGTCGATCTGGATGTTTTAACAATTTTTCTGATTGGAAGAAGTTGACGTGAAATAATAGCACTATTGAGAAAAGTGTGTGTGTGTGTGCGTGCGTGCGTGCGCGCACACTTCGTTTTAACGAGATTTTCAATGGTCATTTAACAAACGTTCAGGACAAAAGGGAGGGTGCGTACCCCTGTGCACCCTACCCCACCGTCTGGATCTGCCTGTGGCACGTACCATGCTTGCCATACCCCAGGTACAAACAACATTGGCAGTGTTTCAAGCATAGATACGAAATCTGGGAAACAACGTTTGTTTGACAATGTTATTTCACTGTTACATCATCATCCAACTGTGCACATATAGTGCATTACTATGACGACAACCGACGCCACTGAATCAGAAAGAGATGGACATTCGGCGGTAATGGGACAACCAGACTCCGCTCCAGGCAACGCACAGGTAAAATTGTAGCGTATGACAACAAGAGTCATCTCCCTTATTTCACTTGTACGTACGCTTCAGCTGTTTCTCATGCGGTAGTACTTGTGCAGTATGTTTGAGGAGTTGATGCATTTTGTGACTGGTTGGTTGTTGTTTAATGCCGCACTCAGCAACTATTCCAGCTGTACGGCGGCGGGGTGTACATAATCTGGACTAGACAATCCGGTGATCAACGGCATGAGCACTGATCTAAGCTATAGGGATTCGGTGACATGTGTCAACCAAGTGAGTGAGGATGACCACCAAATCCCGTTAGTCGTCTCTCACGACAGTGAGTGAGTGAGTGAGTATGGTTTTAGGCCGCGGGGGGACACCAGAAATGGCCTTCACACATTGCACCCATGTGGGGAATCGAACCCGGGTCTCCGGCGTAACCAGCGAACGCTTTTACCACTAGATTTCACAAATTCGAAATGTATCAATATAAATAAAAAAATTGTGATGTTACCTCAGAATATTAAAACATGACGCAATGGCTATGCCAATAGAAATACTGAGCAATGTTTCTCATAATATCAGATTGTTTACTCAGATACGAGACATCCGTTCATGTAGAGTTATATCCGAGTAATTTTAAAAAGATCTGATTTTAATGACTACGTAAGCCGTGCCTCTATTAGTGTCTTCCTGATGCAGGCTGCATGTAGGATGTAGGATGTTGTGGAACAGTTAATGGGATCATATCTTCGATTTTCGACCAGGCAAACCATTCTGTGATTGACAGCTTTACGGATATGAACATGCACGTAAATGAGACACCAAATGAACTCCATTCAGAACGGTCACTCAAATGAAAGAAAAACCGTGAAAATCCGGGTTAGAACTGATCTTCAGTAAACGATGCTCATGCTGATCACGGGATTGTCTGGTCCAGACACGATTATTTACAGACCGCCGCCATATAGCTGGAATATTGTTGAGCGCGGCGTAAAGACTCACTCACTCATCCCTTATGGTATTGAAAGCAAATTAGACAAGACAATATTTAATCTATTTTATAGACATGTTGAAGTTACATATACGAGCCAAACAGTAGAAACTACGAGAAAAAATAGATGCAATAATTTGTACATAAACTATATGTAACCAAATTAAAAGAAAATCAAAGTGTCTACTCCTATACTTCCAACCAGAATCGTGTAGAGTCATAAGAATGTATCGATCTGCGTTTTCGAAGTAAATGGTACTTCTTAGCATTTTATTCATGTGCTTCGAAATAGGTACCTGAGTAATTTTATGTTCAATATTGAGATAAAAGGTCACGGTGAACTGTCATCTCTCGTAACCAGCATTGCCCCGAAGCACGTTTCATTATCGATTATGTCGTTGCTCTAAATATCGCGACCAAACGCGGAGGCGGAATGTCTGTTCTCGTTCACGTCTCGCTGGTGCGTTATTTCACGAGATCACACGAACCAAGATGGCTGCCAATATGCGATGGCCTGAGAAATCGAAGTTGTTTGATGTGATGTAAGATGATATTTCTCTGACATTACGAGATCATGTATATCCTTGATTATATGTTTCACATTCATGCAGCTGTATAGTGGCATGGATAAAGGTGCCATTAACGTTATTAGCAGTTACCCATTTTAACGATCTGTCAAAGTCGAGAAGTTAGGAAGAGGGGTGGAATTCGATTGATGGATCATAAGACGTGATTTCTACATTCTTTGCACAGTGATATCTCGTTGTGAAACAGGCGGGTTTGTTTCGATGTCATATGTTGTGTAATTTTGGATGTTCTAATTGCTTTTTTATTTTGATCTGAACTTAGTAAACAATATGTGATGCTAGCGATATGGCATTCTCAGTGTAATTAAAATCAGCTGACAAGTGTCGAGATCGATTTCTATGCTAACGCGCAGAATGTACAGCAGTTATTCTACGTTCGTTTCATTCCAGCTTTAAATTCACTCAGATTGGAATTCTATCATCCAAAATCATTGTTATTTTCATCACATTTACCTTCGACGAGCTAAACAGGTTGTATACAGTAACAGTGGTCTAAGATATTGCCACCATTAAAGGACAGAACGTCAATGTTTCTGAAGCATTGTTTGTAAACTATAGCAGATATACTCTATGTACTCAGGTTTGTTGCCCTATTCCAAAGAGATGTTTCGGCTAACCACATGAATCTACTTTTCTCTTGTTTGTAAACAAACACTAATATTCTGAAAAAAGAACAGACAGGTCAAATGCGAACATTTATCTGTATTCTTTACAAATTCTTTTGCATAATTAAATAGATAGACTACAACAACTACGAAAGTGAGGCGCTTTAAATATATCTTTAAGCATCCATGTAAGTCTGTGACCGTTTTTCTAGCTTTCCGTAGAGTTTCAATGTCAGCAAGAGGATGATAGATTTGCAGATGGAAATAGGTTTTTATGTTTTTATTCTGAATTAAAGTTAAATATTTCATAGCATGTTCATCTTGTGCAAAATGTAACATGAAAAACACATACATGCTAGAAACACTGGACTTCCAACAAGGAATTCTGTGATGTTGAATGATTGGCATATGTTTTGGTATATTTTTCATTATTCCGTTAATGTGAATATACACATCTGCACTTACCATTGAAGTTAGCATTTATGATCAAGATCAACCTAACAGTTAATTATATAGCTCTGATCATATAGAATCAGTGTCTAACTTTCACTTTCACTTTAACCTGTTACTAGTTTTGACAAATATTTCTACCTTAACTCTACATAGATGATACCCCATTAAGAGCCAAGTTAGAATATTGGTCACCAAGAAACTATGCTTCTTATATGAGGCAACTGACAGGAATTAGGTAATCATAATCAGGAATATGGTTGTGCTGAGTTAAACAACAAACAAACATCTAATCATACATGATAAAGATAAGGATTAAAACTAGTTCTCCATATGTACATGGGGTTTACTCTGTCCATGAGGGGCGCGGTGTGGTAGCCTAATGGTTAAAGCGTCTGCTCATCATGCTGAAGCCCAGCGTTTGATTCCCCACATGGGTACCTTGTGTGAAGCCCATTTCTAGTGTCCCCTGTTGTAATATTGCTGGAATACTGCTAAAAGCGGCATAGAACTATACACACACCTACTCACTGTCCATGACAATGTTTTAAACTATGGTAGGAGACTGTGAGTAAGTGTAAGCCTGAAGACTGATTTGGGGAAACAGGAAACACACCTTTCAAATAGCCACCGTCAGGCTCATCCTCGATAATCTCCAGGGTATACGTTACAATCACTCTCCACTATACCCTGGATGCATCCACGGCTTGGCCGATAATTATATTACCTCCATTTGCTGGCCCCGCATTCTCTCATCCGAGCTTGGCAGTGTCAACAAAGATAGCGGTTCGCAGTGCCACTCAGATATTTTAGGAAATAATAAAGACAAATCGACGGATCTGAAACTTTAAAATATATATAAAAGAACTCCTTCTACCTCTTTCAGAGTACCTCTGCATCAATTGTGTTGCCAAGTTTAAACGGTTAGATAATTTAAGAAGCGAAATTGATTTGTGATTGGTTTGCTCAACTTCCCAGTGTAGACACCTGATTGGATAAAAAGCCAGCCAAGGGAGGTAATAAAATCATTGGGCCAAGCCGTGGATGCATCCAGGGTATAGTGGAGAGTGATCGTAACGTATACCCTGGGGATTATCGAGGATGCCATCAGGCTGTGCTTAACACTTTTCAGTCAGTTAGCCATAGTGGGCACAATGTGTGAAGCTCATTTCTGGTGTCCCCAGCCGTGATATTGCTGGAACATTGCTAAAATCATCGTGAAACTAAACTAACTCACTCACTCAGTCAGCCAGCCATAGTAATCTGCAGTTTGGGGTGTATGTGATTCATTGATTTAAATATATTAACACTAATAACAGCAATGTGTGTCTGTATTTGTGTCTACACACTCATGACTATTTATGAAAATATTATTGTCATGATAAATCTTGCTTCTCTTCTATTTAAATACATGCATGTTGTTGTTAGTGTTTTTACAGAAGTGAAATTCAACACTGAAAAGAAGTTTATGCTGATTTGCTTCAGATTTTATTATTATCATTGTGTGTTTTAATTACTGCCATGAATGTTTTCAGCAGAGCTCCAGATAAGAATTAGCTCATGTGGGTACTGTACCCACTGTATTTTTTTTGGAGTGGGTATTATGAATGTTGAGTGGGTATTTCATTTTCCGTTACCCACTGCTTTCAAATATGTGCGTATTTCAGTCATTTTACTCACCTGAGTATTATGTCATTGAGTATGTTTACTAAGCAGGTATGTTCTGCCTTATGTCATACCTAATCAAAACCAACTTAAATATAAAGGAAATTATTTCATAAAAAATCACTCATCCTATGCTGACAGTACAACACTAGTCCTATACTAACAGTACAACTTGATAGCAATCGATGTCTTTTTCATTACGCAAGTGATTTTTATAAATATATTCCGTACGCATTTGTTTTAAACTTTTTGCGCATCTAACATTTTAAATGCATAATTGGTACGCAACAATTATTTTTCAATGCGTAATAGGAAATTTTCTATGCATATTTTACCCGGATACGCAGCTTATCTGGGCCTCTGTTGTCATGATTTATAACACTCAGTAACAGGCTTCAACCTGCAAATTTATATTTGTTTGTCTGTTCTTTGTAGAAGTGTATGATAATTTTGATTAAGGTGTGTAGTTGCATTTATAACCATAATTACTGCCATCATAAATTAACCTTATGCAAACTGTTTTGTTTATTGAAATTAGAAATATGATATCAAATAGGGTTGCAACAAATGTGGCGAATATGATACGTGTAATTAATATTGGGTAACAAATGCGAATAATTATTCATGAATACAATATTTGTAGGTAAGTGATTGATGCACAATATGGAATGTCCATGTTGACAGTTTTAATTTGTCGCAGCAATAACCAGTGATCTCATGACACTCAAATTTGGTATGTAATACTAGTTATAGTCGACAGTACCATGTAACATGACTTGCGCTACTGCAAGGCTAGTACATATTGCATGACTGCATATCTCACTTTTAAAAAGTACTTACGGGTTCAAGTAAAACAGGCTCCCTTAAAAAAATCGTAAATATTCATTAATATTCGGTTCTGGTGACCACGAATAACGAATTGAACTCATGAATTGATTCACCGAATATGTGAGTGAATTGTAACAGCCTTAATATCAATGTGGTACATGATTGTTGTTGTTTTTTCAGTTATTGTAACCAATTTCCATGAAACCAGTTTAGATTCTAACCACATTTAACATCACATGAGCGTCATAAATATCAGTCATTAATTTCAGTCATATAGTGAAGCAAATGCAGATGTAATACAAAGAATTTGATTTTAAAATTAAAAACTCACCTCAAGCCTTGGAAACATATTCAGTAAACATGCACTGTATTCAGAATGCTTTGATACCGACTGAAAAATTTGAAGTGGAACTATTAACATGGAACAAATGGTTAAGATTTATGTTTTTTCAGAAAGTGCTCTTTGGCTAGTTTGACTTCTGATACCTTGGAAATGAAATGATTCCTGGGAATGATGTGGTGGGAAAAGTCCTATACGTTCACAACTAATTCTTCAGCAATGATATTTAATGTATAATTCTAGAAAATATGATATCCTGGTAAGTATTGTCTGTTTTACCATGTTTAAGTTGGATAAATAGGAATAGTATTCCTAAAATAATAAGCATGCTGGCCAGTCTTGTATGAATGTTCTTTAAACATCATTTGTAATGCTAAATAAACCTCTTATCACAAGAACCAGTGAAGGTCTGGGTTAGAATATTGATCTTCAGTAACCCATGCTTGTCGTAAGGGGTGACTAACGGGAATGGGTGGTCAGACTCGCTGACTTGGTTGACACATGTCATCGGTTCCCAATTTGGTCTAGACTCGAATATTTACAGACCGCCGTCATATAGCTGGAATATTGCTGAGTGCGGCGTAAAACAAAACTCACTCACTCTTTTCCCAAGTGGTAATATTCAGAGCTACAAATAACTTTTTGGGTCATTGAGTTATATACTCGCTTGTGGTCATGTCAATTGGGTATCCCAATTTCCCTTTGATTAACCAAATAAATTGTACCCACCTCGCTCAAACTCAATTGGATATTTTGCCATTTTCCATTAATTTTTAAACTATATTAAGTTTAAATGTTGGTTTACGTGTTTGTTGTTCATATTTGATCAGTAATATGAGAAACTGTAAGAAAGACTGCAAGTTGCCAAGTTCATGTGCTGAAATAGAACCTCTCAATTCATCTCAGTTATTTTATCTATCCACCTGTACGCAGGCTACGATTTGATATTTTTGTGTCTACGCATGTGAGATGAAATTTTTTGAGTATTTACAAACATCAAGTGTACCTCTACACAATAGTCCTCAAAGGAATTGAGTTTTCACGTAAATATTTACGTAATTTACACAGATATACAGCTTATCTGTACCTCTGATAATTTGCTTCCTGCTAGCATTTTCATTTCAGTGGTGATCAAAGTCCAAAGTTACATTGTCAGTAAACTAAACCTACGTGCAGAGATAAAGTCTACTTTAAATAGTTTGACTTCATGAATTTTAAACCTGTTGACAGTATCAAAAGTTAAAATAGCAGCAATGTATTTGTTTTGGGCAGCAAAACATTTTGCATCGTATTTTGGGTGATAGACTTGCTGCAACTGAACATGGGTCTGAATCTCTTTAGGATGGATTTTTGGATGATGCTATTACCATATATGACTGTAGATAACCTGAATTTTGAGGACCAAACAAAGTAGTCTGCAGAAGGGGGTCAGATTATCTATAAGGCTACACTTTTATCAAACTTTTTTTCTGGTGGTAACAAAAAACAACATGGTATCGCATTGTGACCTTGGCTTATCTATGACAGTAATATAAAGTACTTATCTTTTATCTTTTAGATGTTAAGGTGGGGGTAAATGGAGGGGTTAGGGGCATGGGTGGCAGTATAAAGTACTGTAAACCAGTGTACAGAGTTGCTTCCCTTTTGAGTGGCTGGAACCTAGGAAGTGCCAATGTCTATGACCTGCAGGCTTTTCTCCCATATGAACAAGCTGATCAAGCTGAGTCATGATATAAATAAAATACTGTTGAGATGGTGGTAACCAATGTTAAGGAGAATCAGGGGGGAAATAACTTTAAAATTGCTAGTGTACTCCGGTACAGTGGCACATGTAAAATCACTTGCCCTGATAATTTTTCCACTATACCTAGTTTTTCTTGTTGATTTTTAAATAAACAACATAATTAATATTGGAAAGTCAACTGGACACCGGTACAGTGTGATATACAAATTTGCTTGCCCAACAGAAAAAACAATGAACTCGGGCGTCGAGGCAATGGGTTATTTCCACCCCTGAGAATGTATACAGTATAGTGTTATTATCTTTTGAAATAATTCCTATTTTTCCAGATGCTTAACACCAGATGTTTCCTCCAGTTGCTAGAATACACTGAGCAGTACCATGTCTACATCAAGCAGTACCTCGTCTGCACTGAGTTGTGTCGACTATGGCCAGACAGCTGAGGACCACCAGTCCCTGCTTGTCCTTGTTCGCCATACAGGAGGCAAGCTCAAACAGCAGAGCTTTGCCCGGGCCTGGGAAAGAATGAAACGCCTCAACTGCATTCACATCCAGAATCAAAACCGAAATATCTACGTCCGTTACAAAAGAGGCTATCCTAAGGAAAACAATGAATGGGGAGATTTCCAAGCACATCGAAAAGTCCTCGGTTTAATATCTGTTGGACACTGCTCAAACCATAAAGAATTTGAAGACCTATTTGATCATTACAAACGGGTGAAAGAGGAATATGCCAACACAATTTTCAATTCCCGTTTAGTTGTGTTTGGTATGAACACTGATGGGTCACCCCTTGCTGAGGAGGAGGGTAAAATCGGTGATATTCGGGAGAGTAAGGTTGTGGTGGAGAAGACAGTTGTAGATAATAAGGATGAAAACGAGGGCAGAACCTCCCCCAACAACAACTTGAAAACGGATCCTTTGTCAACCAATGGAGAGAAGGACAGAACGGAAAAAGGACAGAAGGATAAAAGTTTACCTAGTGTAAAGAGACAGCACAGTAATAGTTTGACTAAAGAAAGCACAGGGGCTGAGGTTGTGTTTTATCCAGATCTGGAACATTCGGCTGATCTAGAGGACAGACTTAAGGAGTTCATTACGTCATTGTTTTATGTATTGGAGGGCAAAAGACTGGACAGGTCCTTTGAACGAGCTGACCGTCTACATCTACTGTGTGCTCCATTTGAGAAGAAAGATTATGTTGGGGTTGACCAGGAAACCAAGTAAGTTGTTCTGAACTCCATTTGAACATTTTTACCGAACTGTATGAACTTTATCACTTTGGTCAGTGCTCCCTTTTATTGTTTATGATAGTTCTCCTGTATTGATTGTGTTGCATCTATTTGTAGTGTACCCACTTTACCATGGTTACCCACCTAATTATGGTAATCATGGAAATTGGTAATACATTTCTCCATATACAACGCCATGTGGCTGAATATGTTCATCGCTCTTCAGAAGACATTCCATCATAGTGTACTTCTGGAAACTTACACCATTTGTAACAGTAGTTCCTTTATATTGTATTGAGTGCAACATTGAGCATTTTGTTGTAGCCATGGTAACAGTGTTCCAAGAATGTCAAAGTTAAATGCTGAAACAAGTATTTATATGTTTAGTATTTTCTTTCTGCTGTAATACCGGTATATATTTTTCAGGTTTAAAGAGCACCTCCTCGTGCTCACTAAATTTGACAGTATTGGTCTCAAATTTCTTACAAAATCATGTTAACATATCAAGTTGATCAAGCAGAAAGTACCTAAAATCTCACAAAAGACCCTATTTTCAGTGGTTTATGTTTCTGTCAACATGGTCAGTTTGTTAAATACCCCCTGTGAATAACTGGTTTAAGAATAATCTTGAGCAGCTAATGCTTGTTGTAAGAGGCAATTTTTATTCAAAAATGGGATCAAGTGGACAGACTTGCTGACTTGGTTTATGCATGTCATTGTATCTCATTATGATTAACATGGCCTGGTGTTGATGATGTCAATCACCGGATTACATGATGTCTGGACCAGGCTTGATTGTGTACACTTCCAACTGATGTCATGTACCTTCAATATTGCTGACTGATACGTATTTGCCACTGAGATTGTCACGTCCCCATCATCAGAGACTTGTCAGTCTGACCTGATTTAATACAGATAGATATTCTTGATAACTGGTTTTAAACCCAGCTCGTTCATTTTGTATGTGTTGAAGTAACACTTCATTCTACATCATATCTAACCTGAGGACATGCTAGTTATAGTGTACTAATGTTGTAGGGTATTAAGTCAGAGACGACTGTTGTATTTGTTGTACCAGTATTTTCATGGTTTGTTAAGGATGTCATTGTTTCGAAAGCTAGTCCCACAGGTTTAGCTAAGTTACAGTCCGTTTGAGTCAGAAACGGACCGATGAATTGCAAATTTGATCATTGTACAAAATTGCCACATAAATATAAATAGTACACATGTTGATCATTTACTAATACCAGCTTTCTTATATTTGAAAATTTTCCGGACTCCACCAAAAAAGTTCTTTAAGAAACTATCATCATTGAAAACGCAAAAGTTGTTATCTGTCGCGTCGGGGTGAAACCGCAGAAACGGAACAGCCAGTCATGGCAGGGGAACATCTCAAAATCCCCGTTAAGGGATTCCTTAACCAAAACCTCTACGTCACGTAATCTAAAAGTTGTGTTTGATCTGGCAACATCTCCTTTGACAATACCCCATATCATTTCAATGGGGTTAAGGTCACAGTGATAGGGTGGAAGTCGCAGAATATTGTGACCCTTACTTTTTATGTAACTGTCAACTTTGTAGAAAGGTTCACCTTTGTGGGTTTTTATGATCTCATATAGCTGAGGCTTCGTTGCCTTTGAAGGCCGTGCGATCTGAAATTTGTCGAGCCATGATATCATATCACCTTTTCGACTGTTCAATGTCGGGGCTTTACTGTCGGGGTCCTGCACGCTGTGGTATGGGGCATTGTCCATTACGATAAAAGACTTCGACGGGTAGAGCTGGTACCAACTTGTTTTTAACCCAATCGAGGAAAACCGCACCATTCATCTCGGAATGGTAGTCTCTGTTATCTGTGGACTTTGCCCTGAATACCAAGTCGCAGCCTGGGAGAAAGCCTTTGATGGAGCAGCCAGCATGGAGAATGATTAGTCTCTCTCCTTTCCCTAGAGGCAGCTTTCTACGTGACCCCTTATCACCCCCATCGGGTACCCACTGACCCAAGTACACTGGCTCGAACCCTTCCTCGTGCTTCTTTATAACCCTGAGAAAATTATTTCTCAAGCGAACGATATCAGGGCGTTCACAGAGTACTGACCTATTCTCCCACGAAATTTTCTTTTAACGATACCCGAAAGAGTGTAAGAGTCGCCAGAGTGTGTACTTCGATATTCAGAGGTTGTGTTCTTGCTTCAAATGCTTTTTTAAAATTTTCAGCGACATGTATTTGTTTTCAGAATAGAGCTTGTTGATAGACTGCCTTACAAGGTTCTTTTGAAAGTTGTCCAAATGTTTTAATTTGTGTGATTTTGACATCGACCCCTACCTGCTTCGCATCACCCTCACAATGTTTGTGTTCCAGAACATTTGTCAGTACCCTTGCTGATACTCCTAAAGCTTTGCTGCCCGCCACGAATTTATTAATGGCATAAAATGGTTTGCCCATTTCGGCTTCAGCACGGAAAAAATCGTACACTTTAATCATCAACTGTTTCACGTCAGCATTCCACTTCATTTTTCATCAGGCATGTGTATCCTGTGCACGACGAGATAGTGGCTGTTCCGTTTCTGCGGTTTCACCCCGCCGCGACAGATAACAACTTTTGCGTTTTCAATGATGATAGTTTCTTAAAGAACTTTTTTGGTGGAGTCGGGAAAATTTTCAAATATAAGAAAGCTGTTGGGTATTAGTAAATGATAAACATGTGTACTATGTATATTTATGTGGCAATTTTGTACAATGATCAAATTTGCAATTCATCGGTCCGTTTCTGACTCAAACGGACTGTATAGTGTACCAATGTTGTAGAGTATTAAGTCAGAGAGGACTGTTGTATTTGTTGTATCAGTATTTTCATGGTTTGTTAAGGTATTCGTAACTACACGTGTCATTCCGGCAAGCCGGATGGCATCTCATACCCCTCTCGTGGCCATGTTTAAGACTGGGCCCTGTCTAAGCCCAAATGGGCATGGAGATGAAAATAATCTAGCACTATTACCAAGGAAAGATAACTCTGAATTTCCAAACATGGCTCCTAGAATATCCTATATCCTGTGGGCAAAACAGCAATAGTCATTCCCTTTTAAATATGTTTCAGTGTTTAATTTTAAAGTTTCTGATCCTTTAGCTCCAAGTTTATGTTTAAATTGTGCTTTGCATAGTTTAGCGAAGTTTCAAACTTCAACGGTGCCGCCATTTTCATGCTTTGAAATGTGTTTTACTACTTGCAAAAATGGCGACGATAGGGTGTACGATTTGATTGGTTTGTTAAGGATGTCATTGCCACCATTCTTGGCAAAAATGATCGTGCACGATACTGTCAAGTTTCTTTTTGGCGTAAACACGATTTGACACGCCTTGTTGCCATGCAACGATTACGAATGTTTGTTAAGGATGTCATTGTTTCGGATGTTAGTCCCAATGATAAGGTGGTGATGAAGTGTGGATCCATAATGTTGTTCCTAAAACACGATGAAGGATGCACACTGATCAGGCTTATGACTCCCATCACGCAACCAGTGATCAGGTGAAAGGACCTCAGTGTTGAATACTACTGTTACTGCTAGATGAAACAGCATTAGTCATTATCATCAGGATCAACGAACATTGTATAATGCTCTACAGGGATTTACATGGGAGTCCTGTATTTGAGGGTCTCTGGGACTCATACTCTTAATTTTGAGGGGTCCTGGACAACAAAATGGGGGTCCCACACACTTAAATATTATTATTAACACTGTTATTGCATTGTGTATCATGATCATCACATTGTTACAGGACCGCCTCCGTGGTGTAGTGGTTAGAGCGTCCGCCAGGAGAGCGGAAGGTCGCGGGTTCGATCCCCAAAACGCGTCATACCAAAAGACGTTAAAATATGGTACTTGTTGGTCCCTGCCTGGCGCTCGGCATTAATGGGTACATCAAGGACTGGTCGGCTCGGAGTCAGTATAATGTGTCTGAGTGGGGTATTCATGCTTCACTGCGGCATGGTATCTCAGTGGGCTAGCACTATAAAACCAGCTTCAGTCTGGGCTAGTACAAGCATCCGCACATACACATACACACGCATGCATGTCGTCATATGAGCGAAATTTTCTCAAGTACGACGTAAAACCTAATTTCACCTCACCTCACCTCACCTCACCTCACCTCACCTCACTGTTACTGCTAGATGAAACAGCATATAGTCATTATTCATGAACATTGTATAATGCTCTATATTATGTATATGATACGTTGGGTTTAGTCCATGGTTGGGGGGACACATCTGTTTGTGTGAAGCTGTCTTTGTGTTTATATGTACTTTCTGTTGCTGCTGCAGGTCTTTCAAGAAGAAGTGTATGGGTCGTCTACGGAAACACCTGGCTGATCTGTGTCTCCAGGCAGCCATGCCAGGGGAGGCAATCCTGCACTACCAGACAGCCATGGACATGCTGCGCAGTGTGAATGACTTCCTTTGGATTGGAGGTAGGAAGTCAAAATATCTGTGTTCATAGATATGATAGTGTGAATGATGCATACTAATCAAGACTGACAAATGCCCCTTTAGAAAACATGCTATATGCTGTATGCTATATGTTATGCTGTTTGCTATGCCATATATTGTGGTTATGAACTTACAAAATATAGCTCTTGTATCGTGATACAAATCCTATCACACCCATATTATAGGGATACATGTTGTATCGTCGACTCACTGTATCATTGTGCCTCAAAAACATAATATAATATTATGAGTCCCCAGTAAAAGTCCCAGCCCTCAGTAACAGTCCCAGCCCCCAGTAACAGTCCCAGCCCTCAGTAACAGTCCCAACCCCAGTAACAGTCCCAGCCCCCAGTAAAAGTCTCAGCTCCAGTAACAGTCCCAGCCCTCAGTAACAGTCCCAGCCCCCAGTAACAGTCCCAACCCCAGTAACAGTCCCAGCCCCGAGTAAAAGTCTCAGCTCCAGTAACAGTCCCAGCCCTCAGTAACAGTCCCAGCCCCCCAGTAACAGTCCCAACCCCAGTAACAGTCCCAGCCCCGAGTAAAAGTCTCAGCTCCAGTAACAGTCCCAGCCCTCAGTAACAGTCCCAGCCCCCAGTAACAGTCCCAGCCCCCAGTAACAGTCCCAACCCCAGTAACAGTCCCAGCCCTCAGTAAAAGTGTCAGCTCCAGTAGCAGTCCCAGCCCTCAGTAACAGTCCCAGCCCCCAGTAACAGTCCCAGCCCCAGTAACAGTCCCAGCCCCGAGTAAAAGTCTCAGTCCCCAGTAAAAGTCGCAGCCCTCAGTAAAAGTCTTAGTTCCCAGTAAAGGTCCCAGCCCTCAGTAAAAGTCTCAGTCCCCAGTACAAGTCCCAGCCCTCAGTGACAGTCCCAACCCCAGAAACAGTCCCAGCCCCCAGTAAAAGTCTCAGTCCCCTTTAAAAGTCACAGCCCTCAGTAAAAGTGTCAGTTCCCAGTAAAGGTCCCAGCCTTCAGTAAAAGTCCCAACCCCAGTAACAGTCCAAGCCCCCAGTAAAAGTCACAGCCCTCAGTAAAAGTGTCAGTTCCCAGTAAAGGTCCCAGCCCTCAGTAAAAGTCCCAACCCCTGTAACAGTCCCAGCCCCCAGTAAAAGTCTCAGTCCCCAGTAAAAGTCTCAGTCCCCAGTAAAAGTCCCAACCCTCAGTAACAGTCCCAACCCCCAGTAACAGTCCCAACCCCAGTAACAGTCCCAGCCCCCAGTAAAAGTCTCAGTCCCCAGTACAAGTCTCAGTCCCCAGTAAAAAGCCAGCCCTCAGTAAGTCTCTGTCCCAAGTAAAAGTCCCAACCCCCAGTAAGCATGGTAAGAGTCCCTGTAACAGTCCCAACCCCCAGTAAAAGTCCCAGCTCTCAGTAAAAGTCTCAGCTCCAGTAACAGTCCCAGCCCTCAGTAACAGCCCCAGCCCCCAGTAACAGTCCCAGCCCTCAGTAAAAGTCCCAGCCCCCAGTAAAAGTCCCAGCCCCCAGTAAAAGTCCTAGTCCCCAGTAAAAGTCCCAAGTAAAAGTCCCAACCCCCAGTAAAAGTCCCAGTAACAGTCCCAACCCCCAGTAAAAGTCCCAGCCCTCAGTAAAAGTTGCAAACCCTAATTGCACTTGTGTTTGGATCCAGATAAATGCCTGCACATGTCCAAAGAAAGTTGATGAGGATCCCTGCTCTCCCTGTGACTTTGGTCAGACTCTGCTGGTACCTGTCACTGACATGTTGTGTGTGTTTCAGGCTGCTATGAAGGACTTAGTTCTGCATCAACCATTCTGACATACCCACGGAACGGCAGCAACTCAGTCCCACTGCGTAGGAACCAGTCATTTTCTGTCAAGAGGGGTGCTGCTCTCATGAACGACAGCCTCCCTTCAAAGTGTAGGTTGCCATTGAAACTGTAAAAGATTGTTTCAGATAATAGGTAGTTGGGATTATGAGGTGTATCTGAATGGTTTTCCAGGTTAACTTGTTTAAGAGGATATGTCTGTAAGTCTTTTAGGTTCCCATGGTGACCTCTATAATCACCTTCATGTCTTCTGACTGGTGACATCTCTCACAGTTTCTTGATTTTATAAATGCTAGTGGTGTTACATCAAAGCTCTATTTTTCACTGAAACATTAAAGATCCTTGATAAAGACCCAAACTTTGAATGATAAAGACCACCTTCTTGACAGTTTGGTCTTCAAATATCAAACTTTGAATGAAGATAAAAACTCAGTCAGTCAGTACCAATCCTGGTCTTGACAGTTTGGTCTTCAAATAGACATCCACATGGGTACAATGTGATGTTGCTGGAATATTGCTGGAATATTGCTAAAAGCGGCGTAAAACTCAGTCAGTAAATCAGTATATTGGTTGTTATATTCACCATAGACCACAATGTTTTGGTGGAATATCAGATCCTTAATATGTTAAAGAAGGTTAATTCATGTGATGATTTTATGAAATACATTGAAGACATATATTCACTGATGCTGTGCTTGCTGACTTTTTGCTACATGAGTTTGACTTTGTTATGTTTATGTCTTTACTGTTCAGCATCGACCTATGCGAATGGCCTTGACCTAGCTGATGCCACTGCTCAAGGTGGCCTTCACCCTGATGACATCATTGAGAAATACAAAGACGCCATTATGAACTACAGCAAAGTATGTATGCAGATATGTAATACAAATTATGTTATCCAACTCTGATAAAAACTGGATAATATCCACCTTATGATTTCATGTCAGAATAGATACAATTTTCACAAGCTTGTAAATGCCAAATAGTATGTGTGAGTTTTCACTGCAGTTATATCACTGTGTGTCAACTTGAAATGAGAGGAAAATGTGAAGTGATGCAGGTCTTATACATTTATCACTCTTCTGGAACCCAGGTGGTTATTTGATTCCAATCAATGATCATAGGATCCTGACATGCCTAAGGGATGCTACTCTGTACAGCAAGATGGAACTGCTTAACCAACTGTGCTACCTGTGCCAGTGTGATACGAAGATCAAGTGATCCTAGTGTGTGTTTGGCTGAATATGTCTCTGTGCCCTTTGCAAATACTGGTTATCTCTTCATGCTATCAACCACTAGTTCTCCATGGCCACCAGACTTGGTGACTGACAATGCATTATGTATGGATGCAATGTTGCTGGCTGGTTTTACATTGTTATCTATGATCTCCCTTCTTGATTATGTTTGATGAGGAAAACCTCAATGAACATTGTAAAAATAATGCATTAAAAGTTTCCAAAATAACCAAGTCTCATGTTTGATGTAGTTTGTACTAGGGTGGAAATGTTTTCAGATGGGCATCAAGCATTTATCTAATCATACTTCATTTTAATCTGTTTTATGTGTTTTATATTGCCAATATTGATTTTCTGTTGATTATTTGCAGTACAAGAATGCTTCAATGATAGAGATGGAGGCAAGCTTCAAAGCATGCAGAGTTCTCATCATGCAGCGGGTAAGATTGTTACCATGGCTACAGTTATGTTTAAAGCAATTTTAACATATTGAAGAGAGATGTTATATCCACAAGACAGCAGACTAATACTCCTAGGCCCTTCAAGCTCAGTTCAGTGTCTGCAGCAAATAATGGCTGATGGTCATTTGGTGTTCTGAATTTTAAAATGTTCTTGTCTGAGAATGTCTGTTTGTCTTGTCTCTTCGTTCTTAGCTCCCAGTAATATAGGAAATAAGCATGCGTACTAGGGCTGCAATGAATACACTTTGAGGTGAATATGATGTGGTTTATGAATATGTAGTAACAAAAATGAATATGTATTCATGAATGCCTTATATTTGAAATCAGGGGCGGTGGGGTAGCCTAGTGGTTAAAGCGTTGGCTCGTCACGCCGAAGACCCGGGTTCGAATCCCCACATGGGTACAATGTGTGAAGCCCATTTCTGGTGTCCCCCGTCGTGATGTTGCTGGAATATTGCTAAAAGCGGCGTAAAACCAAACTCAGTCAGTCAGTCAGTATTTGAATTCAAGAAATTGAAATAATTAACATACCATGTAATTGTTATAGTTGAAACATTTGAATGGTATTTTTTATAAAGCTGAAAAGCAATACATTTCGAACAATGCTGCGTATTGCTTTGTGTCAGTGCTGTAAGGGGCCTTGGCAAAATGTCACACGTTACGCTACTGCGTGACTTGGATATGTTTGATTTTGCTTCTCTCACTTAGATAAACAACAAAATAGTTCCAAGTGAAAACACTCTCTTAAAAAAATATTTGTAAGTATTTGATTCTTCTGACGACAAATAATAAATTGAATTCATGGAGGGATCAAACAGGAATAATGTACACATGCCCTGTTTTGTATTCTCATTTCATTCCATAATGTTATAAATGAATGATGGGAAAGTTGTTACAAAACATTGTTGTCTCTGAAAGGGTAACTAACAATACATCGAAGTGCCAGTTCATACAAACAAAAACATGTCCTGTACACAGAAAGTAGGGCAGGATAGATACCACTGCTTATTTTCTGCTATTCCACTGCACATTTTGTACTCATCTTTCGTGTAAAATAACTAGACTAGAAAACAACTATGGTTGTGTATGTACCTGGATATTGAAAATGATGTCATGCAGACCAGTCCTCCAATACTTAGTCAAAGCAGTTATAGAGGGGTGACTATTGAGGAGGAAACAACTATTGCTATACTATTGCAATAGGGTTTCTTTTCTCTTTTCATTGTCTCATTTGAAGTCATTTCCCAATTGAATGTATAGTTTATATGAAGTAAAAACAAGTTGAAGTAGTTTCAGTCTCTTTTAATAACTGACAAGAAACTTGAAACCCAGATCAAGTAAACAGTTAAAACATAAACTCAATGAAGCTGCAAGTCTGCACCGAATCATCCTGCATTTTGTGCTGCGCATTTATAAACTGATGTCAATTACTAAACTATTGATAGTCACACATACTATCGATATATCAATAGCTTTTTGTTTTTACCATCAATTAATTGCTATCAGAGACTCAACAATTGCAGTCCATCAATAGTTCAATGCATCGTTACAGCCCTACAGTTAGGTATAACATACAGAGAAACCAGGAACAATTGTGGAACTTCCAGGACCATATGCCTTTCAGGCCCTCAACACATGTACCATGCTTCCAGAAATTTTAGGGGCGGTGGGGTAGCCTAATGGTTAAAGCGTCTGCTCGACACGCTGAAGACCCAGGCTCTATTCCCCAAATGGGTGCAATGTGTGAAGCCCATTTCTGGTGTCCCCCGCCGTGATATTGCTGGAATATTGCTAGAAGCGGCGTAAAACCATACTCACTCCAGAAATGTTAAGACCCGTATTTAGCTCTTCTGGTGAAAAGAGTTAAACCATGTCGATTTGTACAGTGTGTCTACTAAATATATCATTATGTCTGTTTGATGATGTATTAAACCATTAAAAAAATTACCTGTTCAAGTATTATGGAAAAATAGAGTACATATCTTACCTTTGTTGATCAGCTGAAGGTCTTACTTGACTGTTTAAACTGTGAGTGTAGGGTGAAGCCCTGAGTTCGAGCTGTCTATCATTGTTGTGATAGCTATCAGCTGTGTTGTTATTTCAGATTATGATGTAACTATCAAAACATATTATGTCTGTGTTGATTGTCCTGATTGGCTTAAGTATGTTGGTTAAGTTATCTGTCTTGAGTTGTTTGTAAAGGGGAAGGAAGCTATTGTAATTTTTAAGTCTAGATGTTGAATTACAGCGAATGTCAAATTTTGGGTTGATAATATGTGTCTATTCAATGTACAATGGTCATTGTTATAAATATAAACGTAATGGGTAGAAAAATATGTTGTAGTTGTAAAGTATTTAAAATATTGAATCAAGAATGTAGGAAGCCAACATGACCTAGTTTCACCACACAAGTCTGTTTTATTTTAATTTATTCGGAATAAGACTATACTAACTATCTAATTCAATGCACAATTTCACCTTTCTTTGGAAATTTCAACTACTAACCCAGAAAATAAGTCAAAACTTACGACCAAAACATTTCACAGTTCAGGTTCATTTATGGTTTCACCGTGTTCCTATGTAACATAACTAGATTAGGGGAGAAAGCAACTAGTTCAGATGTACCATTGTGTCAGTCCAGTAAACCTCTCAACCTGATTCCTGTTTCACCTTAGACTTAGTATTTTATGTTTAAGTATAGTTCATTGTGTAAAATATTCTATCTATATATATTTTATATATATTCACTCTTTGTACTGACTCAGCATTCACCTGATGAAGGAGCAAGAATTAGCTCAGAAACGTTATGTAAAGAAGCAAAAAGAAGCTGTTATCCATGAAGTTGTTATCCATAAAATGTGTCATGTATTTCTAGTTCAGTCCCTCTTATCTGGGGTAATAATGTGCTGTGCCTTGATTGTTAGAGCTATGAGCATACCTAGTGTGGAGTTTGGTGCTATATAAATGGACACATTATTAGTATTATTATTATTAACTTAATATGTGAAACATGTGAAAATAGTTTGATTCTGTGGTAAAGTGAACATTTTTGCTTACAAGCCACTATACACTGTAAAAATGGAATGGTATCATGGTAGTACTCTCAAGCAAGCATGAGTGAATCTTGCACAACACAAAACCATTCACTTTCCTGTATTGGTACAAAGATCTCCAGCAAGACACTAAACCACTTTTCAGCTCAGCTACTGTGCTGTTTGAAATCAGGATGGGATAGTTTGATATTGTTCATTCTTACCTTCGAGCTGTGCTTCCTCATAATTGTACATCATCTAGGCTAGTCGGTAAACAGTTACCTTCAAATGTTAACTGTCCAGATATATTACATAAAAAAAAGTGAAAACTTTTTAAAACATGTGATTTACATTTGTTCTATTTACAAAATATTTAGTGGGTAGCTTGTCCTTAAAATACTCAATAGAATTAAATCTGTGGTGCAATTGAAGAAATCCCTTTGAAGTTTGTGGGTTTCCACGATAAACAGGACTGGATGCAGCTTTGTAAAGTACCAATCATCCACACCGAATTACATATCAAAGATCAAACACCACAGATGGACGTATGTACTGATGTTTACACAACAATTGATCATTGGCTTGCTGCATGTTTTGCTTATTTATTAGTTTAATCCCTAATCTTGGGCTTGTGGCTTTTAATCCCAACCCAGCACAAGGTCCATGTTGTTTCAGGGGAGTGCAAGGGGGAGATAACTCTAGCTGGTCTTTGAAGCCAGTGGGTGGAGACGAAGTTGTTTGTACAGCAAGAGAGTAGCCAGTGACAAGCTGGGTCATGGATGTATTGTATTGGGTGGGTAGAGTAATTGGGGTCGTTCTCTGCTCATCCCTGTGTTTTTGGAAACCAAACCGGAGGACTTTGAATGTGACAGAGAAGCCTCTATCAGAGTTGATAGGTCTTGCTTGGGTTTGGTATATAACCCTGGGTTTCATATCCAGTCATCATTCAACTCTGCTTCTTGCACAGTGATACCTTCAGAGTTCAACCAGTGATTCAGATATTCAAGGTTCTCAGATACACAGTTGTATCATGGCGCACATTAATACTGACCGTCCCAGGAGGATTGATACGAAGACTTTGCTCCAGTTCTCCCCTCTCTTCATGGCTCCTACTCTGACCAGTCTTAGATCGGAGCTGTCCATGGCGGAGTCAGCATCTGCAGCCTTGTCCCACAGCTTCAACTCTCACTTGCCTTCCAGCCAGTTGCCTACAGTCGATCACCTGCGACCCTCCCCAGTTGCCAGATCTCCAACCTGTACCATCATGCATGGGATGACATCTACTCCTACGACAAGTGCAGCTCCCATAGCAGCTCCTACTCCACTGTACCCTTCCATGCAGACCCCCATGTCGTCGCTACCCCACCCAGCACCCTTGATGTCCCTACCTCACCCATCACCACTGGCATCCTTTACCATGCCGCCAGCCTCATCCTACCTGGCCATGTCTACTCTCACCTCAACACCACAGTCGGCACAGATGTCCACCCTGCCGCACACCCAGGGTTATTCGCCCTCCATGGCCATCCCAGCGGCACAGACACTGTCTCTGCCACCCCAGTTCCCCACCCCACCAGCTCAGATGCAGACCCCAGAGAACCCCAGCTGCCTCAACAGACTTCAGAGCAATCCCATGTTCCAAGACCTACAGAAGCTTCTCTCACAGGAGTGTAGACACTTACAGGTAAGTGTTTTTCAAAGTGCCCAATATATTTCACTATTTTTCAGAATCACATTATCTAGAATTTCCTTTTGGTTTGGAATGTTACTAATTTGATTGGAAGTAATATTTTGTTAATATTTAGATGTGGTAGTGTTTTTTCTACCTTTCCAATTTCTTTTAGTTATTAGACTGCAAGATTCTGATTCCTTTCTCTTTCTACTTCAGGTGCCAGCCAGTCTTATCACAGCAAGTTGGAATTCCAATCAGCTGCTTACTCCTTCGACTGTTGACACCAACCAGAGAGTTGCCTCCCTTCATGCTTCTCTCCAGGATGAGTTCCTGCGTCTCCACACCAACACAACACTTCGTAACGACAGCCAACAACTTGAACATTACTACTGCACTGAGGTTGGCCGCATTGAGATGGAACGCTACCAGGCCCTGCATGCTGTCGTCTGCTCTGAACACCAGAAGTACTCCATCAACATCCACTTTGACAATGAGAGAATCTCCCTCTGTCAGCATCTTGATAAGGAAATCCAGCATCTGAAGCTCACAAGGAACCCAAGTGTTCCCACTCACCAAGATCGCTTGTCTCCCGTTAGCGACATGTCCAGTCCTCTTACACCACCATCTCTTCTTGATTCTCCCACCGAGTCCGTTCCATCAGCGCAGAAGAGCTTCAACATTGTTGACTTCCTGTCACCCAGCTTGTCTATTGACACATCTGCCAAGTCACCAGATTTCTCCGGATCGGTCACTGAGTCCTTCACCCAGAACCTGTCTGCTGACTCTGGTATCCACAGTCAAGAGTCCTCCCCTGAGACCAGCCACCGCACAGTTACCTCCCCTGTTGAGCCAGTCACTTCCCCTGTCGAGACCACAGTCATGGACAGCACTTTAGAGAACCAGACCGGCCGACTCCTGAAGTCTGAGACAACCCGAATCCTGACTGAGTGGTACGAGGCCCACATCAAGTATCCCTACCCAAGTGATGAAGATGTCAAGCACCTCTCCAACAAGGGAGGGATCAAGCCTGCACAGGTCCGCAAATGGCTGGCCAACAAACGTGTACGTTCCTTCAACACACTCTCCATCACAGGCAATGACCATCCCATCAAGTACAAGTACCAGGGGCGCACCAAGAAGACTGATGCCACAGCTCCCAGTAACCGTCGCTCCCAGTACAAGCTCCTGACTCCAGCTGCCAAGAAGATCCTCACTGATTGGTATGAGAGTCACCAGGAGAATCCCTACCCCACAGAGGAACAGAAGGACGACTGGCTGACCTTGCACAAATATCCAGCGCCCAGGTTAAGTCCTGGTTCGCCAACAAGCGGAGCCGCAACAACAACACCAGGAAGCAGATCCCCAACTACTTCATCAAGAAGTACCCCAGCTACACCCCCATCGTCGAGATGGTGGGACAGATGAGAGCAGCCAAGAAACAGACCAAGTTTGATAACGTCCGAGTTTCACTCTTCCAGTGAACTGTTAGCGACTGTTGATTGTTAAAGAAAGTCCTTGTTATTGTTGATATGCTATAGTGCTTTTGTTGACATGTGTAGATATGTATATACCTGGAAGCTATGTGAGTGAACATCACCCCATGAAACACTGTTCTAGTGTAAGCTGTTCACAATGCTATGTAAATACCGTGTCTAGATTCATGAAATAAATTTGAAATGAACATGTATCTTAGTTTTCTGTGTAAACATTAGCTATGTTTTCTTGTGAGTGTGAGTTTGGTTTTACACCGCACCCAACAATATTCCAGCTGTATGGTGGCGAGTCTTGACCAGACAATCCAGTGATCAACAGCACGAACATTGATATACGCAGTTGGGTTACAATGACATGTGTCAGTGAGCCTGACCACCTGACCCCTTTAGTCGCCTCTTACGACAAACATGGGTTACTGAAGATCAATTCTAACCCAGATCTTCACAGGTCTCCTTAGTAGAAAATTAGGCTAGTCAGGCTAGAATGTAATGGTGTACCTTGATACTGTGCACATAATCATTACTTCACCACACCTTCCATAGTTTAGTGGTGATGACTTTATTGAGACATTGATCAGTTACCTCTAGGAATCAATATTATAAAAAGGTGTGACTGAGTGGCATTTTAAAAGCACAGTATTGACAAACTTTATGGATAACAACTTCTTCATTCGTGAGTGCAACACTTCAGTACAGATTCTGGACCTTGATGTGTTTGTATTCATACACTTCCAGACTATATTTAGATCACCTTCAACCTAAAACACTGTTATTTGTTATTAAAGCCTTCTGAAGAGTAGGGTATAATAAAGAAATTAACACACTCACGTAGCTGTCATATTGTATTTACAACATTTTTCAGTCACTCGTGTTTTAAATACAATATGACATCTACATTCGGGTATTAATCCCTATTTCTGACTGTCCACCTGTTGTTTTCAGAAATACCTCCAGGCATCAGATTTCCTACAGAATGTGGTCTACATCAACCTACAGTCCTCTGAAGAAGATAAGGTTGGAACAATTAGTATTTTTAGCTTATGCAACCAAATAAGTCAGGTGGCTTATTATACTTATGGCACATTGTTCATCATTAACATTTTCATTTTTTACCCCTCCGTTGCAACTACAAGACGATGGCACTGTAGCTTTGTACTTTGTATGGTTCTAGATATGTCTCTAAAATTGCACACAGAATTTCCATCCAGTTTTATACATGGTCATCCTGGCAGACATTGAAACTAACATTTTTGCTATAACACAGTCGTTTTTGCATGTATCATTATGAAATGTAAGTTTGTGTATTTTGGAAAATAACATGTAGTGCCTTTTGTGACATCAGATATTTTGTATATAGTTACATGTCCAATCACCTTGACACTGACCATTATTAAGTTAAAACACATGTACTTTTACCATGGTCTTAAATATCTTCTCTGATGCTGCTTGACTGATAAAGCTGAAAGTTGGTATGCAGGTTTCTTTCTGAAGACTTTTTAACACACCTATCATTGATAAGTTGTGTTTTGTTATGATTTCTCTGACTTTAAACAATATTTTGAAAATCAAAGTTTCCAAAAGTTATTAAAAAAGTTTTGTTCTCAACATCATTGTCTTAAACAATGTTGCAGATTCTTTGCTTTCTTTGAGAAGTAAATTAAGTTGTCCTGTGTTACATATTCTCCTATGTCCATTCAGTAAGAACTGGCTCTGGTTGCCCTCAGTATTGTAGATACTTTATCTCAAGTCTGTAAGGACTAGCTTTAGTTGCCCTCTGTTACAGATTCGTTTGTCTCAAGCCTGTAAGGACTAGCTTTAGTTGCCCTCTGTTACAGATTCGTTTGTCTCAAGTCTGTAAGGACTAGCTTTAGTTGCCCTCTGTTACAGATTAAGGACTAGCTTTATCTCAAGTCTGTAAGGACTAGCTTTAGTTGCCCTCTGTTACAGATTCGTTTGTCTCAAGTCTGTAAGGACTAGCTTTAGTTGCCCTCTGTTACAGATTCGTTTGTCTCAAGTCTGTAAGGACTAGCTTTAGTTGCCCTCTGTTACAGATTCGTTTGTCTCAAGTCTGTAAGGACTAGCTTTAGTTGCCCTCTGTTACAGATTCGTTTGTCTCAAGTCTGTAAGGACTAGCTTTAGTTGCCCTCTGTTACAGATTCGCTTTGTCTCAAGTCTGTAAGGACTAGCTTTAGTTGCCCCTCTGTTACAGATTCGCTTGTCTCAAGCCTTTGTCTTTAGTTGCCCTCTGTTACAGATTCGTCTCAAGTAAGGACTAGCTTTGCCCTGCCCTCTGTTACAGATTCGCTTTAGTTGTCTCAAGCCTGTAAGGACTAGCTTTTAGTTGCCCTCTGTTACAGATTCGCTTGTCTCAAGCCTGTAAGGACTAGCTTTAGTTGCCCTCTGTTACAGATTCGCTTTCTCTCAAGCCTGTAAGGACTAGCTATAGTTGCCCTCTGTTACAGATTCGCTTGTCTCAAGCCTGTAAGGACTAGCTTTAGTTGCCCTCTGTTACAGATTTGTTTGTCTCAAGTCTGTAAGGACTAGCTTTAGTTGCCCTCTGTTACAGATTCTGCTTGTCTCAAGCCTGTAAGGACTAGCTTTAGTTGCCCTCTGTTACAGATTCGCTTGTCTCAAGTCTGTAAGGACTAGCTTAAGTTGCCCTCTGTTACAGATTCGCTTTGTCTCAAGCCTGTAAGGACTAGCTTTAGTTGCCCTCTGTTACAGATTCGCTTGTCTCAAGCCTGTAAGGACTAGCTATAGTTGCCCTCTGTTACAGATTCGCTTTGTCTCAAGCCTGTAAGGACTAGCTATTTTTGAGTTGCCCTCTGTTACAGATTCGTTTGTCTCAAGCCTGTAAGGACTAGCTTTAGTTGCCCTCTGTTACAGATTCGTTTGTCTCAAGTCTGTAAGGACTAGCTTTAGTTGCCCTCTGTTACAGATTCGTTTGTCTCAAGCCTGTAAGGACTAGCTTTAGTTGCCCTCTGTTACAGATTCGCTTGTCTCTCAAGTCTGTAAGGACTAGCTTTTGTTGCCCTCTGTTACAGATTCGCTTGTCTCAAGTCCTGTAAGGACTAGCTTTAGTTGCCCTCTGTTACAGATTCATTGTCTCAAGTCTGTAAGGACTAGCTTTAGTTGCCCCTCTGTTACAGATTCGCTTGTCTCAAGTCTGTAAGGACTAGCTTTAGTTGCCCTCTGTTACAGATTCGCTTTGTCTCAAGTCTGTAAGGACTAGCTTTTGTTGCCCTCTGTTACAGATTCGTTTTGTCTCAAGTCTGTAAGGACTAGCTTTAGTTAACACAGATTCTTTTGTCTGCAGAGGGGCAGTGGGGTAGCCTAGTGGTTAAAGCTTTAGTTGCCCCTTGTTACAGATTCATTGTCTCAAGTCTGTAAAGACTAGGCTTAATTAAGCCCATTTCTGGTGTCCCAGATTGCGATTTGTCTGGAATGTTGCTGTAAGCGGCGACTAGCTTAACATATTCTTTGTGCTGCAGATCCATCGGTACAGCACCCTGGCTTCCCTGTACACCCAGGTGGGCTTCCACCGCAAGGCTGCATTCTTCAAGCGGGTGGCGGGGATGCAGTGTGTGGCGCCAGGGACGTCGGTGGGCTGGCACCAGTGCTACTACTTACTGGTCCAGGCTCTAGCAGGATACAGTATTTCTCTTGATCCTAAGGAATTCCTTACAGGTAGATCCAGTTCAATTAGATCTTCTTCTTTTCAAATGTTCAGCATGTTGTGTATGAAGTGTACTCTTTTATTATTTGTAAAAAGATAATGAACTATTACTTCATCATTTAAAAGTGGTTTTTCTTTCCATAGTTTGAAAAGGAATGAGGATTTGATTTGTTCAGTCATTGATTATCGAACAAGTAATCTATCCTAAGTGTGCCTGAATAGATACTTATTCGACCTGAATTCGTAAATCTTGACTCCAATCCAATGTTAGATATGAGCCAAGATAAGATCTATGAAAATTAATAACAATGAAGATTTTCAGAGTTGATGAACTATCTTATGTGTAAATACCACATAGATATGATCCACAATGTTAAATTAGAAGAAGGAACCTGTAGTTATTTAATTTCAACCCAGTGTCTGTGTGGGTAGTGTGAGAGCGTGTGTCCTTGCTTCAGATCATCCCAATGGATGGCCTGTGATCCAGTACCGTATCATGCATGAACTTGTGTACTCTGCCCGGAGGATGGGCAACCCACAGCTGGCTGTCAGGTCGGTTCACATGCTTTGAAACAAACCAGCTGTCATGACGAAACATGGCAGTTAAACGGTAGTATTAAAAACATCAGCTGTGGTAATGGCAATAAGGTCACTGCTGCTAATCTTCACCTAGCAGTAACTGGGGCTGCAATGATTCAGTTTGATTCATCAAAAATCAAATCTGACTTAGTTTCGGTTTTCGATAACCATTGTCACTATTTCTATTCAATATTTGAATACCTATTTCAGTCATTTCCACACAGCCTGAACGTAATTTCGACTCCAACTCGAGCTGTTTCGAGCACTGAAATAAGGCAAAACATGACTGGTTGACGCCGGGCCAATTATCCAATGAGAATTGTTGTTAGTAGATATCGCCAAGGTGACAATGGATTTCACGCTAAAAAAGACGACTCTGAGAGTTAAATGAAATCTGATGTTTTTACTTGTATGAAGAATCGAATCGAAAATGATCGAATCAATGTCTATGTGAATCATTGCAGCCCTAGCAGCAATTGTGGTGAGGCTTTGAAAATAAGACTAGACTTGATACCTTGGGTGAGAACATGAACTGTACACAGCTGCTCATCTTGAAATAGTGTGACATAAGAGAGGTTGCCAACTAATATAGTCTTAGTGCCTTCCAGAATGTTCTACACAATGCTGGATTAGTCTATGGTATTATGGCAGATTTCAGATTACACTTCACTCCAAAGATATGAAAAAATTGTGTCTTTCACAGCACTGCTTACATTATATAGTAATACATTCCTCAGTTACTTATTGTTGAATGGTGTTATGAACTTCTACTTACAGAAATAATGTGATACAATTACAGTATTGTTTAACAGTACAACAGGGCCATACAACAATAACTTCTGTTTTTCCTCAGACACATGACGTTCCTGTTGCACACAATGCATGACAAATTGAGCACATCTGAACGCCGGGATGCGATCAGTGGACTGGAGACTTTGACAGCCAAATGTGAAGGAACGCCTCATCCTCTTCCCTTGGAGAACTGTCAGATCCTGCCTCCAGTCCCTCTCCTCAACTTCCCCATTGTCAGGTAGGTTTTTACTGGGCAGAGGAACGCCTCACCCTCTTCCCTTGGAGAACTGTCAGATCCTGCCTCCAGTCCCTCTCCTCAACTTCCCCATTGTCAGGTAGGTTTTTACTGGGCAGAGGAACGCTTCACCCTCTTCCCTTGGAGAACTGTCAGATCCTGCCTCCAGTCCCTCTCCTCAACTTCCCCATTGTCAGGTAGGTTTTTACTGGGCAGAGGAACGCCTCACCCTCTTCCCTTGGAGAACTGTCAGATCCTGCCTCCAGTCCTCTCCTCAACTTCCCATTGTCAGGTAGGTTTTACTGGGCAGAGGAACGCTTCACCCTCTTCCCCCGTGGAGAACTGTCAGATCCTGCCTCCAGTCCCTCTCCTCAACTTCCCCATTGTCAGGTAGGTTTTTACTGGGCAGGAGAACACCTCACCCTCTTCCCTTGGAGAACTGTCAGATTCTTCCTCCAGTCCCTCTCCTCAACTTCCCCATTGTCAGGTAGGTTTTTACTGGGCAGGAGAACACCTCACCCTCTTCCCTTGGAGAACTGTCAGATTCTGCCTCCAGTCCCTCTCTCTCAACTTCCCCATTGTCAGGTAGGTTTTTACTGGGCAGGAGAACACCTCATCCTCTTCCCTTGGAGAACTGTCAGATCCTGCCTCCAGTCCCTCTCCTCAACTTCCCCATTGTCAGGTAGGTTTTTACTGGGCAGAGGAACGCCTCACCCTCTTCCCTTGGAGAACTGTCAGATCCTGCCTCCAGTCCCTCTCCTCAACTTCCCCATTGTCAGGTAGGTTTTTACTGGGCAGGAGAACACCTCACCCTCTTCCCTTGGAGAACTGTCAGATTCTGCCTCCAGTCCCTCTCCTCAACTTCCCCATTGTCAGGTAGGTTTTTACTGGGCAGGAGAACACCTCACCCACTTCCTATGGAGAACTGTCACATGGTGGATGGCGGAGAGGGGGGTAGTGGGGAGGATGGTGTCACTTTCATTCTCATTGCTCTGTGTCTTAGTGGGTTGAAGCTTGTATTTCCTGGAATGCATATAAAAATATCCTCTTTTTTTTTCTATTGCACAGTATCCAATGTACATGTTTCTGACATAAGGCAGTGTATAAACATGTGTATTGCAGGTGTTTCAAGGTTGTGCCCCCTGTGCCTCACCTGCACCCCCAGAAACTCTCCACTGACTGTGATAAAGCCTCCAAATCAGGGTCTTCATCTACACACCTCTCTCCCTCGACTCCGACAAGGATGCCAAGACAAACAAGTGTGGTAAGCATCCACACTATAGCTTTTCTAAAACATTTTGATCTATGATTGGTGTAACATTTCAAAAAGTGAACATGTATTTGTTGATTTGTTATATAACGACACACACTGCATTATTCCAGCTATATGACAACCTTGTGTAAATAATCAAGCCTGGACCAGTCAATCCAGTGGTTGATGCCATGAGCATCAAGCTACACACATGAGAGATGACGACATGCTGTGAAGGTTGTACTCCAGAAAAAGAATCAGTGTCCCATGTTTGTCAGTACTGCTGACTTCGATAAAATGAGGGTCATTATGGTACCTTGTATCTTAAACATATAACTTTCAGCTACTTAATTCATCTTAGTGACAAGTCATTCAAGGAGATTTAACTTTATTCTTTTCTTCAGACTTCCTGTGGGTTGAGGGGGACATGTGTGAAGTGCACCTACAGGTGTTTAATCCTCTCCCTGAAGAGCTCAAGATTAACTATATGGTATGTGTCTGTGTCTTGTTGAGGATCATACTGTGCTGAATGACATAAGTTGTTGTAAACTGTCTCTCCTGTGATTGGTTAACTCCAGTTTCCTTGTTCTACACCTGAACAATGCACTTGTATATTGACTGAACTACATGAAGTGTGTTGTCATGTTTTGCAACCAGTAATTTCATCTCATGTGACTCGGTACTCTCATGCATAAATGTAAAATTATATCCAGTTGTGAAAGCGAACATGATTTGTTGTATACTTGGTTTCTCCCTTGTGTTAGTGAAACCAGTTCATTTGTTTTGTGTGATAGATTCTTCTGGTCTGGTTGTATATTGTGTTTTGTCATTCCTCAGGGCTTGCTGACAGAAGGTATTGAGATGGAGATATTCCCAGCCAATCCATCGGTGCCTGCTGAGTCCGGCCCAGCCTTCATCAAACTGTATGGCAAACCCAAGTCTGTAGGCCAACTCTCTATACTGGGTATGTCAGCTTCTCTGTACTTTGTACTTATGTCTGTACTATGTATATCAGCTTGTCTGTACGGTGTACTTAGGCCTGTACTGGGTATATCAGCTTCTCTGTACAGTGTACTTAGGCCTGTACTGGGTATATCAGCTTGTCTGTACTGTGTGCTTGATATTTTGTTTATATTTTATTTATATGGGTATTTATATAGCGCTATAGTCCATCCCACATGCATGCTCAAAGCACTTCTTTGTTTTCCCGTTGATCATTGGATGTCAATCTCAACGGCACATCATATTATCAACCTCAACTCCTTGGGGATCATACAACTCTTGCTGCCACTAGGCACACTGAGTTAATGTGACTTTCCCATCCTTTCGAGGTACCCATTCACAGCTGGGTGGACTGGGACACATAATCACAGAACTTTGTCCAAGTTTACTGCACGTTGCTGTACCCACAACTAGGTGTTTGCATGTATTCATGTGGCCACATCTGGTCATTTACCAACGGATTCGTGGGTTCTTTTAAGTGCACAGGGTTGTGTACTGTACACTAGGGGTTGTGGCAACACTGAAAGAGTCTTCACACAGAGCTGACTCCAAGGATTTTATGCCCAGTCACAGGTGGGCTCAATCCCGGCACCTCCAAGCTTGCTGGATCACTAGCCTGGCGCATTAGACAGCTCACCCACCCATCCCCAACTGTTCATCGGATACAGTGACTGCGTTAATGAAAAACAATCCAATGCAGTTGAAAGCATGATGTCCTCAGTATTTCTTTCAGTTATAGTCTTTTATTGGTCCATTGGTCCTGCTTTGCTTTTACAGATTTGTTAATCCATGTTGTGATGCTGCCATCTTTCTGTGCAGGCTACAGTACTCTAGTCCTCGGGGTCCGTAGCAACTGTCGCTGAAGGACCTCGCCCATATACCTCAGCCTCACTTTGACGTTGATGTTGTCCCCGGCCTGCCCCAGGTGTCACTGTCATCATCACTGCCTAAAGCTGCCAGCTTCACATCTGTGGGAGATGGAGCCAACGTGGTGGCCAGTGCAACGGCCTTGCTGTATGCAGGACAGAGGTCAGTTGGGTACATCTACCTCATCAGTCTTCTAAGCTTTTTCCCTACTATGAGATTCAGTGTTAAAACTCTTGTCAAGATTATAGGTTTGTAAATCAAGTTTGGGTTTAAAACTCAAATGTTATTGGTAAAATTTTCAGTCCAGATCATGGGACTTTCTGTCAATTATATGAAAAGGATGCATTAAATCCATTGTTTTGGCATGTTGTTAAATTCATAATGAGCACATAAGTTAGTTAGTGTCCTCTTCTCTTGCTACATGGACGCCATTTGTCCTATGTGTGTAGGGGTAGCCTAGTGGTTAAAGCGTTCGCTCGTCACGCCAAAGGCCCGGGTTCGATTCCCCACATGGGTACAATGTGTGAAGCCCATTTCTGGTGTCCTCTGCCGTGATGTTGCTTGAATATTGCTAAAAGCGGCGTAAAACTAAACTCACTCACTCACTCGTGAAAAGGATCCTGGCAAATGTATGTGTAAAACGTTTAAAATTTCTATACATTTTTTCCATATTATTGTCCATTTCTTATATGCATTAGTCTATAACTTGAGGAATTTAAGCCATACTGCCTGGTAATTTGTTGATGTGCTCTGTTGTTTGTGTTTCAGCTTGGAGTGCCTGGTGACCCTCCAGAATGGCTCCTGTCTTCCTGTGGAGAGGCTGGATGTATCACTGGATACAAAACTAGAGCATGGTGCGTGCTGACATTTCAAAATTCAGAATATCCATGATTGCATAAAACCTCTGTTTAGCAATGTTAATAATACATATTTGATTACACTGAAAAGATACAACATTGTATTCAAGTTGAGGTGTATAGTCCTGGTTTTTCAGCTCAGTTCCATACGCCCATGCGCGGGACATTGACTGATTGTCGTTCAAAATGTCCTAAAGGTACATACAAAAAATTTCAATGATATAGAAATATGTCTGATATTGTCAGATATGTTGAAAAATGTTGATAACATTTTGGACTTGTCGTGACACAATTGGTATCTAGCCAAAAAACTGCATTTAGGCTAGATTTGTGAATGCAATCATGTCATCTGCTGCTCATGAATTTGTTGTGATCATTGGAACAACTGTATTTTGGTCAACAGATATAGAAGAACGGATGTTTTCCTGGAGTGTTGACAATATTAATTCCCAGCTTCCACTTCAACCAGCCAATCAGCTGTGCTTCTCTGTCTGTATCTATGGTTACAGTGACTTCCTGTCATCAGACCTTCAAACTCCAGGTTTGTACACTGTCTCAGTCAACTGACCACTGTCGATATGGTATTGTGCATTCTTAGCTTTCATAGATTTTTATACTTGCCAGTGGGGTATACAAAGTGTGTAATCTGGCTACCAGTTTTGAAAGCAATGGTGGGTCAGTGGGTTAAAGGGGCCGTGAGGTAGCCTAATGGTTAAAGCGTTTGCTCGTCACGCCGAAGACCTGGGTTTGATTCCCCACATGGGGATGTGTAGCCCATTTCTGGTGTTCCCACCGTGATATTGCTGGAATATTGCTAAAGCAGTGTAAAACCATACTCGCTCACTCAGTGGGTTAGATCACCGACTTTTGGTGCTGGATATTTAGGTGAGTGTGGATTCGAATCTTGGATATACTCAGCCCCAAAATGGTACTAGATATGTACTTTAATGACTAAGTGTAACCCCAAATATAGCATATGTTACGTGTAGACATAGTTCACAGAGATACAACTTCTATATCTATATCACATCTGTACATTATAAACACATTATCTTGCGTAAATAATTCAACATCGCTCTATTGGTTTCAGACATGCCTTCTCCTGTGTATTCCAATCGGTCGCGATCAGACAGCTCAGAAGGAAAGGTAGGTTATTGTGACATCACTGGATGTTACGGTGAATTGATACGTCAGATTACATTTAACTCCCAGAGTCGGCTTTTTGATTGTGAAATCCATCGTCAACTTGGCGATGTCTACTAACGACAATTCTCATTGGATAAATTAGCCTGGTGTCAACAATCACGTTTCGCCTTATTTCAGCGCTCGAAACCGCTCGAGTTGGAGTTAAAATTACGTTCTGGCTGTTCGGAAAAAAATTGAATAGGTATTGAAATATTGAATCAAAATAGTAATAATGGTCATCGAAAATCGAAACTTAGGTGTCAGATTCGATTTTCAATGAATCGAATCGAATTGTTGCAGCCCTAGTCTTTAATACAGGTTAGAAACTTGCCCAGTATGCTTTTATTTGTGTTGTGTGGGGTTGCAAAATTGCTTTGAGTTGTCACATCTGTTGAAAGGGTTGGATGTATGTGAGATGAAGCTAATATTGGGATTAATTAATTAATATATGATCCAGTGACATGCCTAACACCAGCTTAATCATTTACAAGCCATCATAATGTAGTTGAAAGATTGTGTTCCTCCACAGATACTAGCAGTTGTACCTGGGCCCGTTGCACACAGCTACCGTAACACTGTGACTGTCGTAAGTCTATGTTACAGTATAGGAGGTACGGCAGTCGTAGCGGTACGATAGCTTTGTGACTTCAATAAAAGCTATCATAACGCTACGACTGTCGTAACTCCTATACTGAAACATAGACTTACGACAGTCGTAGCACTTCGATAGCTTTGCGAAACGGGGCCCTGATGGGAAGTTTGAGTTGTAATCTGTGTTGCAGGCGGTGGAGGCTATCCTGTCCGTGCAGTACAGTGGTAACCCTGGTCTAGAGGCTGGGTACTGCCGCCAGTGTTCTCTAGCCCTCACCATCGACATACTGCCGTCTCTACAGATAGCTAACTGGGATGTACAGCCAGCCCACAGGTAGGACGCCAGTGGGGTTGATTGTCATAGAACTCAGCAAGGTTTTCATGAGATTAACAGGAATAGGATTTCAATTTTCAGAATTACCGGTATCTGTCTTGTAATGAAGATTTTGTTGGATGTTAGCTGTGTTTCACTTACCTATCGGTGCGGTGGGGTAGCCTAAAATGATGAAAGCGTTCGCTCTTAATGCCGAAGACCCGGGTTCGATTCCCCACATGGGTACAATGTGTGAAGCTCATTTCTGGTGTCCCCTGCCGTGATGTTGCTGGAATATTGCTAAAAGCGGCATAAAACCTAACACACTCACTCACTCACTTACCTATCTATCTATGCTTACACATGCGATAGTCCTACTGACTTCTTTATTGTAGATTTTGTTATCAAATAAAGGATATGAATTTGTAGCATGAGTTGCGTCTTACATGATAATCAAATACTACTATATTGTAGAAGATTTGCAATAATATCTCCCAGATAGATAAAAATTTCATGATTAACTGATGAAACTTCATGATGTCATCAATTTGGGCTTTTAAGCTTTTTATGATTGGCTCAATTTGTATTCTGTATCCGATCACTGTGTGTGAGAAGAAAGCTTTTGCTCTATGTTTATATTCATTACTGAAGCAATATCTTTCCTTGTAGTAAAGTTGCTTCCTGAAAGGTTTCTGTCATTGCTGTCAGTATACGTATTATTGTTTTCATCATGTATTACATTTTGTTTCACATTTTTAAGGAACCACTACTTCCTATTTTCAGCCGGGATCATTGTGTGATACTGTTTGACATACAGAATGTGACAAGTCACCAGTTAGATCTAGAATACCAAGATGGCAAGACAATCATCACAGAACCCCAGCAGTGTCGAAGGCAAGTTTCAGCCTGTACTGATAGACTACATATACTCCATGGCTTTATTTTCTCTCTAAGGTGAAAGATGTTAGCTGTAATGATATATTTACGGCCCGTGAAGATTTGGGTTAGAATTGGTCTTCAGCAACCAATGCTTGTCGGAAGAGGCGAATAACGGGATCGGATGGTCAGGCTTGCTGACTTGGTTGTCATATGTCAGCGTATCCTAATTGTGTAGATCGATGCTCATGCTGTTCATCACTGGATTGTCTGGTCCAGGCTCAGTTATTTACAGACCGCTGCCATAAACAAAATATAGAAAACAAATGTAATGATTTATTGATTGAACTGAGCTATAGGTCTTTGCACAGGATTTCTGCAATCAACCAAATGAGGAAAGTTGAAATTGTCACTTATTTTGTAAAAAAAAATTAGGATAAGGTGCCATTGGTCCAGGTGTGGATCGTAAATGATCCCCAGCAAGTTATACCAGCTGTAAATGGTGACTCAATGGATTGGGTTCTTGACAATGTGGCTGGGCTGAGCACATGTCATCCAGTCCCTATGGTCTGAATATCGATCACTGGAGCTGTTTGCAGAGTTAAATTACAAACATAAATGAGCAACACTGGAAAGTGAATCCTTGACAAACAGATCTCTGAAAGTTCAAATTGCTCAGTTGTACAGTGCATAACCTAGTCCCAGTCCCAGCGGTGGGGTAGCCTAGTGGTTAAAGCGTTGGCTCGTCACGCCTAAGACCCAGGTTCTAATCCCCACATGGGTACAATGTGTGAAGCCCATTTCTGGTGTCCCCCGCCATGATGTTGCTGGAATATTTTGCGTAAAGCGGCGTAAAACCAAAACTCAGTCAGTCAGTCCTGACCTATCAGTGAATATGAGTTTTGATTTGTAAGGGCTTTAGCATTGTTCCAGCAATGCCATGTTGATAGGCATAACAAGAGGGTCTTCACACATTTTATCTGCTGGCATCTGAAAACGAATCTTCATCTTGAAAGATGACCTGAAATGTATAAAACATATATGTCGTGTACCCTGCGTCCTCAACTAGAATGACGATGTTTTACAAGTTGCCCCTTATATCTCCTCTGAAACTATGGCATAAAAAAGAATTAGACACCTTCATAGTGTTTAATGAAATCATTGAAGATATACTCTATCACATCATAAAGTCTTACTGATCCATATTTTGGGAAATTGTTGTTGATTTCAGGATTGCTGTAGAAATCCCCCGTGTTGACTTCCAACCGGAGAAGATGAAACACGACAGTACACCATGCATGCCGAGTGTGTATCGGCAGTGTCACCCCATCAATCACCACAGTCAGTACCTGGCAGACTACGTGGACATCAGGTGGACAATTGTATCCTTGCTTTCTGAGACAGTCATACAATGATGGATGTGCATTGACCGTAACAGTGACAGAAGCATTTACCCTTTTTCTGACTCATTTTCATGTCCAGGAGACTCTGTTAACTTTAAATTGGAGGGTGCAAGGCTTGAACATTGGGGTCTGACAACATGTGACATGCTTTTCCAGAATGCACCCCCCGGATATACTGTCAGCATAGCACATGTTCTGATTCCTGAAATGTGTTTTATTTTGGGATGTCAATTTTTGAAGTTAACCAATGACATGCTAACTTTTCAGTCTATTTCATACCAAAATATTATGGCAACTTTTTTAATATGCACTTTACTATTTGGTTAGTTTTAAAGATTCTAACAGTCCAACAGGTCTGATTCTCACAGTAACCTCAGTGTAAATGATTTGTGTCATTGTGGTACGTCTGCGCTAGGTGCGGCGTGTTGCATTCTGTAAAACACAGGTAACATTTCTGTTTGGGTAAAAGTTACATTCAAAATTTAGCTAACCAACAGTATATAATTCTACCTAGGCCTGTGAGCAGGTCCAGATAAATCCGTGGCATGTGACATCTGTTAATGTCTTGGAACTCAAGTGAACATGCCCCAGGTGTTTAGCCAGGCATCCCCATGTTCGCGCCTTGGGCACACTAAAGTTACTGTAAATATTGTACTGTTTCTTGTGTATGATATTTCCTTAATAAAACCTACAGCCTGCCACTAAGGTGAGTGGTAAGCTTGGCATTGAGCATCTGACGTGGAGCAAGGACCAGCTGGAGTTAATCCAGAAATCTCCTGTAGCATGGGGTAGGTACACCTATTCCTTGTGGGCAGTTCTTCCAGATTGTGTGTGAAGAGTAACCCCAAATGAAAAGTCATACCTTTCACAGAAATACATTTGTCTCTTGTCAGAAGATTTGGGTGCGACTTTGATCTCGACATCAATGTATTTAGTTTATGTAATGTAACCTATATGTCTGCTAAAGTGATTGTGGGACAGTAAAAGGCCCTGTTTTACCAGTCCCCCCTTCTGTAAGTGTGAATTAAGGGTTTCCTTGGCATGCTGAGTTGCAGAAGGTGTCTGAAGGCTCTCAGTGGTGTTTCTTCTCCAATTGCCAGCTAGACTTGACCAATCTGAAATTTGATTCACACTGTGGACGTAAAAAAGCACTAGATTATCAATACTAACCGAAAATCCCCATGAAGATCTGAGTTCGAATTGATCTTCAGCAACCCATGCTTGTCATAAGAGTCAACTAACGGGATCAGGTGGTCAGGCTCGTTGACTTGGTTGACACATCGTATCCTAATTCTGTAGATTGATGTTCATGATGTCAGTCACTGGATTGTCTGGTCCACTCTCAATTATTTACACACTGCCATCGCATACCTGGAATATTGTTGAGTGTGGCGTTAAACAATTAACAAAAAGGACAAAACAAAAATAAAATAACCGAAACTTTGTGATATCTGTACGCTCTTTCTATCTCTGGAACCCTGAATAAGGGCATTATCATACCAGTTACAGTAAGCTCAGTTGATAATGAACTGATGGATTGTATTTACAGCTTCTTCTTCCTAGCAACTTCCTGTAAATTATAGGGCGGTGGGGTAGCCTAGTGGTTAAAGCGTTGGCTCATCACGCCGAAGACCCGGGTTCGATTCCCCACATGGGTACAATGTGTGAAACCCATTTCTGGTATTCCCCGCCGTGATATTGCTGGAAAATTGCTAAAAATGGCGTTAAACCGTACTCACTCACTCACTCACTAAATTATAGTCACGATGCATGTGATATACCATGGTCAAAGTGAACTAAAATAAGTGGTCCTTTTCAGATTGATTATTATTGTATATCACTCAGGTGAGAAGATTTCATGTTAAACAAATCATTTGCATGTCATAAATTCCCTGACTGAATGGAAATGTTCCACCAATAATGTTCTGTGTCGTTACTGTGTATGTGTGTGGTTGTTGTTGCAGAGGTCCGCCTCAACGACCAGCTGTACTTGTCCCCCGATGTGCCAAAGTTCTCTCTCAGTGACGTACTGGATGTACAGGTGGCGTTCACCAACAGGAGAGGTGAGATACTGCGGTACAGCAGCTGCAGGCTGACCTACTGAAGGAGCTGTAGGCTGGTCTAATGGTCAGAGTCTAAACCTGACACACCAGATGATCCATCTTTGATTCCAAACATGGTTACAATGTGATTACACAATGCCATTTAGAAAGTGTTCAAATGTAACATGTTTTATTTGGGAATACACTTTCTCAGTAGAGTGCAGATTCTCGTACTTTTGTTAGGTTGGGTCCTCTGATTCAAACCCCGGAGAGCGAAAGGTCGCGGGTTCGATCCCCGACCGCGTCATACCAAAAGACGTTAAAATATGGTACTTGTTGGTCCCTGCCTGGCGCTCGGCATTAATGGGTAAAACAAGGACTGGTCGGCTCAGAGTCAGTATAATGTGTCTGAGTGGGGTATTCATGCTTCACTGCAGCATGGTATCTCAGTGGGCTAGCACTATAAAACCAGCTTCAGTCTGGGCTAGTACAAGCAGCCGTACATACACATACATACGCATGCACGTCCTCATATGAGCGAAATATTCTCAAGCACGACGTTAAACCCAATTTCACCTTACCTCACCTCTGATTCAAACCCACACTCTCTGAATCTGGTGCATCATTATATCACTTCACCCTGTGTGACTGCTGCGTATGTTGTACAGGAGGCGAGCAAGTCCAGCTGATTCTCCAGATAGAGCCGGTCCAGGTGTGTGGTGATGAGATGAGAGAATGCCACGAGGTGTCCGTCCTTGGAGTCAATACTCTATGTGTCTCACAGGTAATGTGCCTCTTCTTCTTTGCTTGAACATTGAAATTGATTATGTGGAGTGTCATGGGTTGAATATATCTCGTCATACTCCTACCCTGGGGTAGAATAGGTCGATGTAGGTGCTGTTTATATCAGCTGACTCGGACACACCCAGACACGGACACACACAGACTCAGCTACACAGACAGATTGACAAATTTAACACACTTGCACTTGCTAAGATAGTCGTAGGTTAATGTTAATGCATGGTGCATACGACTATCGTAACGCTAAGAGAGCTTCGAAAATCTAGGCCCATATCTATTAGTGTTGGGAATTGGTTTAAATCTCATAATTGATGATTGGTTCATTACAACCGATCAATCATCGAAAATAATTGGTTAGCGTCATTTATCAAATTTTCCTGGTTATGTTTGTTAATGCACAAAAAAATAAAGAAAAAACATGTAGTTCTTTCGTTATCTTTGTAAACTGCACAAAATGCATTTGCAAATTTCACATCTTTATAGCATGTCTAGTATGTTAGGAACATGAATTTCGCGGAGTCTTTAAAATAAATTCAATCATGAATTGGAAGAGCTTGTAGTGCTAATGAAATCTAACAGACAAAACCAACCTTGTGAAAAATATTGTTAATGCAAACAAGTGTTCCAAAATTGTTTGTGTTTGATTATGAGAATGATTATGACATGATCGATTGCTTGGTCGCTTAGTCACTGTGACCAATTTTCGATTATTTCAATTAATCGGACCACCACTAATATCTATGACGACAGTGCTAAGTAATCATGACTCTAGACTCTTTAATATTGCTGACTATGCAGTTATACAGCATTCAATCACAAACTGTCAGACAGTTGTTGTTTTCAAGGGAATGGTGGATGTGTTCATTTGACAAGTTGATAAAGTACTCTCATCCATCATTAAGCCATAAACTCTGAGAAAGTCTATTAAATACACAGTGTTTGGTATTGGTTTCAGCTTTCCCAGTCAGCCAGTCTCCAACATTCATGTGCCTTCGTCTTCCACTCCCCTGGCTTCTACAGACTCAATATACTGTGCCACTCCTTCATCCACACTTCATCAGAAGCCTCACGACAGATGTCAGTTGCCTCTTGTGTGTCTGTTAGTGACAGGCAGATGTCCACTGATAGTGGTGACATTCCATCAGAAGAGAGTCACACCTCTGTGAACAATATTGAAACAGATGACAAACAGACATCTCAAGTGGCTGATAGACTGTCTTGTGCCAACATGAACCAGACACAGATAATCTGGAGGTGTGAACCAGTCCCTCAGTTTCAGATCATCGACTGATAGTTCCACATTTCATCATCAACAATCTTCACCAGGATTACATCCCCGCTTAGGGAGCATCAGCCTGAGAACCACTCAGTACGTGTAACAGTACAAGCACAGGCAACCAGCACAGGCAACAACACAGGCAACAATGAAAACAGGCTACACCTGCTACCAACACATGCAACGAAAACAGGGTACAACACCAGCTACCAACATAGGCAACAACGTTGGCTACAACACCAGCTAACAACACGGGCAACAACATTCGCTAACAACTCTTGACATCCATTCAGACCAAAAGTGTCTCTGGTGTTCATCCAGTGTGTATTACATGACCTGTTTCTACGGTCAGCCTAGGACTTGGAACTGTCACAGGAGGTCTGGGAATAGGATTTGACCTCTCTAACCATTACCTGATGCTGATGAGAAAAGCTGTCAGTGTGGTGCTGATGCTGTATTAAGCTAAAGTAGCGTCACACGGTCTCCTTGACGATGATGTACTTAAGTCACTGGCTTCATCAACCAATCTTAGCTTTGGAAATGTAAGAAATACATAATTAGAAAAAAATCAGTTTTGTATACTAAAGGCCTCAAAATATGTCATGGACACTGACCGATCGGTGTCTTGTTGATATAGATACTGAATCTATGGGGAAGCGACAAACTGAGGGATGGTACTGGTTTCTATTTAGAAATATCTTTTACACATGATCACAAAGGCAAACTAAGATAAATGCAGTGTATGAAATAAGCCAAAAAATCCGGCCAGACCAAATATGGGGAATTTACTCAGATGTATGGAACATCTAAAAATAAATTACCAGACCATCGGTCTGGCTAGCTGTAAATTTAGACTGTCCGTCAGAAATTTAGACTGTCTCGGGCAGTCGGACGGGCCTTATTTCATACACTGATACATTTAAGAAACTATATTCTGAGATGATTTATTCTCTGGTTTGGGTATGTGTTTAGTGAAAGGTTACAAATCGACAGTCTTGTAGTAACTATACTGCTTTTGTCTCTGAAGGTGGTCTTTGGCTGACATTTCCGAGCAGCCAGATATCAAGTACATATATCTGTAGTAATACAGGATGTACAGGATGTCTTTGCTTAGCACTGATCATTTTTGACAGGAACCATTTATCAGTAGAATGAATGAAGGCCTCGAGAGGCATGGTCACCTTTATAGAAAGCAATGTAGAGAGCAATGGTAATGACTATGATGTGTTGATGATGTTTTTGTTCCTCAGTTATTGGTGATGGACTTAATATTGGTGATGTTACAAGGACAGCAATAAGATTGCGTGAATGGATCAAGGACTTATTTATTTTTCTACAAGTGTACACATTTAAAATGTTCCCTCAAATATTTGTAAACTCTACACCTTTTGAATAGGTTTCTAAGATCTTTGTAAACCCTCTTCACGTTTTAGATAAGTTTCTAAGATCTTAGTGAACCCTAGAAATATTATGAATCAGTTACTTAGAGACTAAGAGAGCTTCAAAAATCTAGGCCCAGGTATTTAAATCTTAGTACATCCAGTTTGAATCAAGAACTGGGATCTTAACAGTCTGGATTAGTTGCTAAGATCTTAGTGAACCCTGCAAATATTATGAATTATGTACTTAGATCTAGAGAACAGTATTCACATTTTGAATGAGCTAATTTGTTCTTAGTATATCCAGTTTGAATCAGGACCTGAGATCTAAACAGTTCATTTGCTAAGATCTTAATGAATCTTGTCCCCACTGAATCAAAACAAAGATGTACCAATCCCTGTATACATTTGGAATCAGTCACTGTGAAGTTAACAGGACATTCTGTTTGTCTTGCTTTCATTGATCAGGCTTGCTATTTTCGAAACGTTTGTAGCCCTACAAACGTCTTAAGCCCATTCTTAACACATTGGCTACGTTCAAAGTTAAGAATTCTTAGGGCTACGAATGTTTCGAGAATCAGGTCCCAGGTCTGTCAATTAAGACGTATTATACAGGTTACGTTTGTAACAAACTCATGGCTCAGTATTCATTGTACAAAGCTCTCCCACTCCGCCATCGTGGATTGATTGTTGACTTCAGCTGTGTTGTATTGTCAGTGTTTCGTGATCATGACAGTCCACTTCAAGTATTTCCATTCTGTGAACAAACATCATCATTGTAAATTACTTAGCCATTCAGTACCACTGAGGTACGTGTAGATGTATTCATGTGTGTAAATACTGTCTATTGTCATCATGGATAGGGCTTGGAGAAGGGATGGACTGACACAACTAGGGGCTGCATTTGGTTGAAATTAAGGTGCTAGGCTTTATGTAATCTGGAGCTGATGTCTCTGTGGACATGTTGAGGAAAAGTGATGAAAAACAACCTTCATTTTTCTTTATTTGGGTAAAACATAGGACTAAGGCTAGAACTCTAAAAGCCGGCTTTTCTTTTCTTAAATACTGACATCTTAAAAACATAATTTGATCATTTGCCTGAAAACATATTTATTTATATTGAAGTTTAGTCTAGAATTGAAGTTGGTGATTTGATTTGGACCAAAGCAGACCTCTGTTGTACTCGGTAGTATTTGTGTGTTGAAGTTGTTAGAGAACAGAGAAGGTTTAGTGTAAGGGAAGCTTGTATAGAGACAGAGGTGTAGAGAACAGATAAGGTTTAGTATAAGGGAAGCTTGTATAGAGACAGAGGTGTAGAGAACAGATAAGGTTTAGTGTAAGGGAAGCTTGTATAGAGACTGAGGTGTAGTTGATGAGTAGTGGATTCCAGTGCTGCCATGAGGCCGTGGCTGCATATTGAGTACTGCTGAATCTCAGCCGATATGTATATTTTGCTTAACAGTGCAAAATTGGACAATCAAAAGAAATGACTGATTTCCTTGCAATGTATTTGATTATTTCCTTGTGTCATTCCTTTGCATAGATACAAAACTGACCGAAGATGTGAGCAGGTTTTTGGTTCTTTATCATGGACTTTGTGTCACAATAAAGGGAATTCCTGCCAGTTCAGGATTCAGTACCTCATGATAGTAAAAATATACCTAACAAGGCTTGCTTCAAGCTGCTTAGCTATGGGCAGTTGGGTAGCCCAGTGGTTAAAGCAAAAAGACCTGGGTTCAATTCGCTATATGTGTACAATGTTTGAAGCCCATTTCTGGTGTCCCCCTCAGTGATATTGGTGAAATCTTGCTTAAAGCAGTGTAAAACTAAACTCAGCCACTCACACTTTAGTTGTGTCATCTAAGGCAACTCACCTTCAAAATGCTGAATTAGATTATGTGCTAGGTTTTCACAGCTCATTACCCAAGTGGTAAATGTTCCAGGCTTGCAGCATATCCTCCATTAAGCTGATAACTGTTTCTCTATTAAATGCGGGGCGGTGGGATAGCGTAGTGGTTAAAGCGTTCGTTCGTCACGCCGAAGACCCAGGTTTGATTCCCCACATGGGTACAATATGTGAAGCCCATTTCTGGTGTCCCCCGTCGAGTGATATAGCTGGAATATTGCTAAAAGCGGCGTAAAACTAAACTCACTCACTCACTCACTCTATTAAATGTCGATGCATACAAGTAAAACATATTGAAATATATAAAAATATATGTAGAAATATGCATTATTTTAAGCCTATTGATAGTGGTCTGTTAAGTCCTTAAGTCATATCAGCATAGTCTCTACTCCCACTCAACTGAAGCCTGTTTACTCATTACCTTGATGTGCAACAGTGTATCTCCCATTGATTTCGTCACGGAAGAATTGTGACATTTATTTGAAAGTATGATCGCTCAGTGTTAAAGAGTATGCTTTCAACTGCTCTGGTTTTGTCACAATTCTTCTTGTGACATTTATTTGAAAGTTTGATCGCTCAGTGTAGGAAGAGTATTCTTTCAACTGCTATTGTTTTGTCCCACAAGCAGCTGAAAGGTAAGAAGATTGACACTCCAGCTCGTGTTGATTGAGATTGGGAAGACATTGTCAGTGAACGTTCTACAGAATCATGTTAACTGAAGGGCATTGGTTCTTAGCCTAGTATTCAGGGTCGATTTTTGATATTATGTTTCATGATGTCCTTGAGTCAATGACCATCATATGATTGACTAGTCACATATACTTATGTGTTAATATGTTGGAACTCGATGTGTCTACTTTTGTGTTTTCTTGAGGGAAACTCACATTCTCTTGTATTATTTAGTTTTTAACTATGGATGGAAATGTCTGCTTCATTTTGTAAGTGAAGTAAGGTCAAGTTATTTATGGACATAGTTTTAAATACATACCTGTATATTATGACTTATTATGTTTGTAATCCAGCTTGATATGTTAGATTATGTATGATATAAAAAGACCATTTCTGTCTCCTTGTAAATAGTTTCTTTGTTTCTTTGTGCAGATTGTCTAGCTTCATGTTTCCCAATACAATTACATTGAAATCAGTTTTACTTTGAAAAATCTAATTAGATCTACTATGTATTTTAGCTCATTCATCATAAGGAAATGTATGACAAAGTGATGGTTTTGTATGTGGAAATCTTCATGCTATGAAATCTCTAAACTGTTTGATACTTTGACAGTTTTGTGAACATCCTTATTGATTTGTTTTCAAATTTCTTGTGGTATATTAAGTTGTACCAGATTGTGATTGGCTGAGAAATCCTGTTTATAATTACACAATGCCATTTAGAAAGTGGACAAATGTAACTTTACTTTCTTAGTAAAGTACAGATTCTATTACTTTTGTTGGGTGTGGGACTCAACCCAACAAAAGTACTAGAATCTGTACTTTACTAAGAAAGTGTAATCCCAAATATAACATATGTGACGTTGAATCCTGTTTGTATGTTTTGACTATTTAAGACCTCAACACATCATCATGGTAACAGTATTAGTGTCAGTCTATTGTACACAATCAAACCTTACAGTATAGCCCAGTGTAAGGAGCACAACGAAGGCTGAGCTTGCTGTGCAGAGTGGTGGCCCTTAGCAGCAGCAGTACCCAGATTCCCCTGGACTTGGATTCTTGGCATGCAATATAGATAATGGGTTCTGAAATAGTGTTCCGTTATGGTTAAAACCTGATGGCTGCAACACAGATATTTTTAGGATTCTAAAGTCAGGCCAGACCAATTTTATTTCTTGTGTTTACGGATCTGCCAGTCATTTTTTTTCAAGAATAAGAAAAAAAGGAAAAAATAGTTTTCCCCGCTCAAAAAATAAAATGCTTATTTTTTCATTGGCCCAAAATGTAAACTTACAAGAAATTCTTTTTAGATTTTTTTTGCCCCATATACACTTCATAAATTGCTAAAAGTAAAATACTTTTAGTATTTAGAAGGAATATTACTTTGACTGATGATTTTACTTTTATTTTTTTCCCTCCTGCCTTTAGGGTTTCTGAGGACAAAAATCCGTAAAACAAGAAATAAAATTGGTCTGGCCAAAGTTGGGAAAAAGGCATGAATCCTTTCACTTGGGATTTTCTTCAAATTCGTTATTTTCTTAAATTCATTTATTGTTAAACTTAAGCCCAACATTACAGCCTATATTTGCTCTTTTATTAGTGAAATGCAAAGCAATAGCATTTGACAGTGTTACTGCCATATGCTTCCGAGTTGGGACTGAGTGCCTCCAGGGTCGGTGTAGATACATCCCAGTAGGACTGGATAACGTATATTCCATTGAAAGTTATATTCCAGGCTTCAGTCACATCTACACATATTCCAGCCAAACAATTGGGGGGGTGCCTGTCAGGCCGTGGATTGAGGTTCAGTAAAAATACAGTTAGTCTGTCTCACAGTCCCTGAACCACATT